CCAGTTGGATGGTTTTGGGTTTTGAAGTAATTGAAAGGTGCTATGAGCGGGCTGGCTGGAGCGGGTCAGGGGAACGTTGGTCAACCAGCCCAGCTCTGCTAAAACAACGAGTTGCATTGATAAAAACATGGACGATGTTCCCCCCTCTCCTATGCAGGTTTGCTGCCACATTCACTGGCCGTGGATCCAGGGGACTGTTGCTGGTGCATATTTTGTGGTCATCCGTCAGTGGGTTTTGAGTGTGTTTGGTTGCTGTCACCAGCAGAGGAGAGGACAGAGACAGAGAGGATTCAGTTTGGATGGCAGCTGAATATCAACATGTGACAGTTTGCTGCCCTCTTGTGATCACAGTTTAGAAATGTTGTCATGAGAGTAAAACAACACCAGAAGACGCTTCAAGAATCATTCAAAGTCAAAACACGACTAGTGAACAACTCCTCTCCCCTCTGAAACAAATCAGGCCATGATCCTTCATATTAGTGGTCCAGATAAAGATCTTTGGCAGTGACGCACAGAAGAAATGAGGACGCAGCCCTGTCAATCAGCCCATCAGCTGCTATGAAATACGTATTTGTCTAAATATGGAGTTTGATCCCATCAAACCCATTTCACGGACCGTTTCCCTATGCAAACACCTCGGAAGGAAATGGAGGGAGTTGCAGGAAGACAGACACACACCTCTGAGGATGGCTCGGTGTGTGTGCTTCAGGAGATTTAATTGAATAGTTCTGCATCAGTGCCAAGAAGTTAGTTTGTTTGCAGAGGTCTGTTTTCTTTCTGACTGAGATATGTTTTCCTGTAACAGCGTGCCAGCATTTGGCTAGAAACAAAGTCATTCTCAGATTTCAGTGAAAAGTGTACGGGAACATGAAGGCAGACTGGAAACATTTGAATGCCTCAAGGCCATGTCCTAGAAGTGCCAAAGCCACACAAATAAGAAGAGCTGGAGGGAACTCAACCCATGAAAAATACACAGGTAAATATTGGAGAGGAAGAAGAATTGAGATGAATCGAGAGATTATTGGAGTAAGAACACTCACTGTTGTTTGCACTGACTTAAGCACTGATATTTTTGTCAAACAAAACAAAGAAAAGGTGTTGAAATCCTGTGTTTTAACATAGTTATCAAATGTCAGTGTGAGACTTTGAACTGACAGCCGTCCAGTCATAATCCAAGACCTTCAAGGCAAAGCTTCTGCTGTGGCAACAAGTGTTTCTGGAACGTCATCAGTAAAAATCCATCAGCGTCTCCTTCAAACGCCGTGAAAAGTGACATTCAGATTTATCTGCTTGACTATGGACACATACTGACGCCTAGTGCGTTACGACCGCTACTGCAAATAATTGCAAATGACAGCGCGGGGCCATGTGGGTTCATTTATTGCCTACATTAGAGCAGATAAAACAGGAACAACAATCATCTTCACCAGCTGATCTAAAGCTTTATCAGCTAATCTGTCTGGGAAATGACGCCAGGACACAGATATCCCACAAAGTCAATATATTCCCAGATAGTGACTAAATTAGCTCTGCATTTGTGAAGTTTTTGTATGAATAATATCTCCTGTCTCGTTTTCTCCACGACTGTGATTTAGCAACGCTGATAAGAGGGTGATCCTGCCGCTGTGGGTTTGCTGGTTATATCAGCCTCCAGTTCCCACTATAACAGGGTCACTCAGGTGCACTGTGCAGGGACAAGTGCAGGCGAAGAGTGAGAGGAGATAAAGTGGGACAGAGAGGAGAGGCGCTGTGAAGTGATAGAGGAACAAAGACAGGAGGTGAAGTGGACAAGAGAGGAGCTGCTGTTGCACACTTATCAGGACCTTTGCAGCTCAGAGCATGAAACAAAATCACTGAGCTTAAGGCATCTCTATTCTCCATAGTCCAACATCTTATTGTGGAGTTATATTTTCTGCCATCTTTCTTTGCTTCTGTGGGCATGACTTCAGGTTTTGCCTACTGGGTGACACAAAAAAAACCACCCACAATGCTGATTGTTTTCACAGCACTAGCAGAGGATCAGGCTGGCGTGCAAATCGGCATCAGATACTATCGTGTGTCCCGCCGCCATTCCAGGGTTTTTTCCGATTTCCTTTTTACAGACACAAAGTACAACTAATCCCCTCATGTCAAGCTGACTGTGGAGACTGTCAGAGAAGGAGAATAAACACAGAAGTCTGACATGGCAAACAGCAACAACAGATTCTTTCAAACGTACAAATTCACAGCTGCTTCCCTGTTACACAAAAACTAAAGAGGCTTCACATAAAACAACATTGTTAAACCAGATGACTTTTTTCTTTACTATTCAAATCTTAAATATTTTGTGTATTTAAAAGAGCAGCATGGTGACATGGTTGGTAGAACTGTTGACTCGCAGCAAGATGGTTGACGGTTTGAATCCCAGCTGCAGCCTTTCTGCATGGAGTTAGAATGTTCTCCCCATGCATGCGTGGGCTTTCCCTGGGTACTCCGGTTTCCTCCCACAGTCCAAATACATGCAGGTCAGGTCAGCTGGAGACTCAAAACTGTGCATGGTTGTGAGCAAGCATGACTAGTTTGTCTCTGTGTCCCTGTGATGGACTGGAGACCAGGGTGTCCTCTGCCTCTGCATGATTATTGCTGGAGATACACCAGCTCCCCACAACCCATGCAAATAGTGAACGAATAGTGCATATTTAAAAAAAATTGTTTGACTCATGACCTGCTCCAAACTTGAAAAATAAAACCACACAAATTTTGCATTTGATCAAAAGAAATTATAAGAAAAAAGTCTCCTTAAATGAAGCAGATCACAGAATATGTTTCATATTTTAACGTTTTCTTAATTCATGTCAGACACTTACAGCAGCAGTGTGCCACAGAAAGCTGTAAACACCTGTCTGTGTCATCAACACGGTTAAAAAACAAGTATTTGTCACACAGCAGGGATGAAAACTGACCTGGAGCTGGAAAAAAAGCAGTACCAGGTTGCAGCAGCTGCTTCCAACAGCCATAAATTTAGTCATCAACGAGATGACTAACAGATGATCACACACATGCGCGCACACACACACACAAAAACTATTTTGGGTTATTGTTTGTTTGAGTGCATTTACTTTAATAGACCACAGCAGGAAGATTAAAATAAATGAGTTGCTTTCAGAGGCAGCATAACCAATAACACCAACGTAAGATACACTAACATAATGTGAACACGATTTATTGGTCTTAACATGTTTATCCTGATTGTAAGGAAGCAATGTTGCAGGAAGAAACAAAATTTAGTAAAACAGCAACAAATTTAATGAGAAACTAACTTTAATTACCTAACTTAATATATCACCACTAAGTATTATTATCATCTTTTGCAATTATAAATAGCCTAAATGGCTCAGACAGAGACACACAAATAATTTTATGGAAATTTTGTATATTATCATTTTGTGTGATTTTTGCATCTTTTTCATTGTTTGTGTCCTTTTAATGAAGGAGAAAAGCCACGAGTTTAAAAATATTCCACCCTTCACAGCAGCAGCATGAGATGGGCCTGTTTGATTAACATTTTAAAGGTGGAAAAACTGTTCTTTACATCAGAAAGCTGTCATGGAAAGATCCTCCTCACACTAAGTATTAATCACTTCATTTTAAATGGAAACCCTGTAAAATTATTTTACGCTATATCACAAACTAACCATTTTCTTCCGCATATCCCGAGTCGGGTTGCGGGGGCAGCAGCCTAAGTCAAGAAGCCCAGACTTCCCTCTCCCCATTCACTTGGGTCAACTCTTCTGGGGGAATCCCAAGGCATTCCCAGGCCAGGTGAGAGACATAGTCCCTCCCTCCAATGTGTCTTGGTATCCTTCTAGGCCTCCTGCCGGTTGGACGTGCTCCGAAAACCTCACCAGAGAGGTGTCCAGGGGGCATATTCAGATGCCTGAGTCACCTCAACTGCCTCCTCTTGATGTGGAGGAGCAGTAGATCTACTCTGAGCCCCTCCTGGATGATCGAGCTTCTCACCCTCTAAGGGAGAGCCCAGACACCCTGCGGAGAAAACTCATTTTGGTCACTTGTATCCAAAATCTCGTTCTTTTGGTCACTACGCAAAGCTTGTGACCATAGGTTAGGGTAGGAATGTAGATTGACTGGTAAATCAATTGCTTTGCTTTCAGTCTCAGTTCTCTCTTCACCACGACAAATTGGTACAACGCTCGCATCACTGCAGACGCAGCACCAATCTGCCTATCGACCTTGCGCTCCAGCTTTCCTTCACTTGTGAATAAGACCCCGAGATACTTAAACTCCTCCACTTGGGGCAGGACCTCATCCCTGACTTGGATAAGGCATTCTACCCTTTTCCAACTCGAGACCATAGTCTCGGATTTAGAGGAGCCGATTCTCATCCCAGCTGCTTCCCACTCGGCTGCGAACCGCTCCAGCAAAAGCCGAAGATCACGTTCTGATTAAGCCAACAGGACCACATCATCTGCAAAAAGCCTGATCCTCAGGCCACCAAAACGGATGCCCTCAACACCTTGGCTGCACCTAGAAATCCTGTCCATAAAAGTTATGAACACAATCGGTGACAAACTAACCTTTAATGCATATTTCATTATTGAATGTAAAATAAATCCAGCCTGAAAGGATGGTATAAGACTATTTGGACATCTTGCACAGTATAACTCAAAAATGTTACCAGTAGGCTATAGACACATTAGTTTGGATAACGTTTGAAAAGCACTTTTAGCTACAAAAATCTAAACCTGGAACAGTGTTTAGAGATCCATCATCAGTGCTCACAGTCTGGGGCCATCCAGCCCTGCTGTAACAGTGTCATGTCCAGCCCAGCTGTCAGAGGTCATTGACATATTAATAACAAAGCTCACTAACACTGAAGCTGTAATAACATGGGTCCATTCAACATGGAAAGCAACTGTCATTCCAAAACAAGTGCTCAGCTCATAAATTATGCACGAATTTAGCAGAAATCATGATAAAGAAATAAAACTCAATCACCTTACCTTGTTTATTGCATCGAAATCGAGGATATATGACGAACTCTCCCCAGTCTATTCTTTTCTCTGAAAACACTGGTACGTTGAAGCTAATTCAAACTTTTTAACGTGTACGTAAACCGCAAATAATTATCCATTTAAGTCTCAGATATACAACTTATGTCAACGTAACCGCTGAGCTGGAGTATTTTATAAAAGATACCTTTCTGTGTATCTTTCTGACGTTCGAGCACCCAGAATCTTTCTGCTAACAGCTAGCTGCTCTGCTACATGAACACGGTGGTTGCCTTAGCAACCACACGCTGTTCAAACGCTAATGCTAACTGGCTAGCCTTTCAGCGGCGCTAAAAGCAACAGCGGTTATAACTCAGTATCAAGCAGACGCACGTGTCTTGTTAAGATAGCCCGTCCAATAAAACATTTGTTTGAGGAATTATTTTCTGAGATTAGTTAGAGCGTTTAAAAGTAGTAAGACTACAATTCCCTTGACGCACAAACTGCCGTATGACTATTTTAAATGTCGTAATGAACTAAGGCTTTAAATATAAGTGACCTCGGGCTTAGGGCATAAGTGGGGACGATAGTTCGAGCGTTCCTGTCAGCATGGTGAGTAGTCATCAGGTTCATTATTTTTCTTTAAAGAATAAACAAAAATAATTTGCAAAGCTTATTATTTCTTTTTATGCAAATTAATATTTACAATTTCCACTTGACACAAGTGATTTTAAGGTCCAAACGTTTATTTGAGTTTAGGTTTTTTTTGTGCATAAAATGTTATAACTACATAGTTGGATAGGTTTTGTGATTTAAAGCCTTGAATGAATGCTGGAGATGGTGAATCAGCTGATAACCTAAGTTTACCCTTGTTTTGTTATGTAACTGTGGGTTCCTAATGGAGGTCAAAGGGGTCTATTTTTAACCTGACCCCCTGCTGTAGTAAATCCCATTGAAAATAGACACCCAGCCCACGTGCATGGAAAAACTAATCATCACAGTGGGGAAAAAAAGCTTTGTGAAATATGTAATAATTGTTCTGACCTGTATCTCTTTTATTTATTTATTTTTGCCTTATGCCTTGCAGTCTGAGCCTATTAGAGTTCTGGTGACCGGTGCTGCTGGGCAGATTGCCTATTCCCTTCTGTTAAGCATCGCCAAGGGGGATGTATTTGGGAAAGAGCAGGTAAAGAAGTGTCTTGTCTTACATCAATCACCTAATGGTGTAAAATGGTATCACAGCAGATGTGAAGGTTATCAACAGAATATTGGTGAGAGCATCCCACAACATATTTCGGACAGGGTGGCCCTCAGCAGTTGCTGTCTACGTAGATGTCGGTCAGATTGCACTCAGCCTTTCAAATGGACAAGCCAGGACTGTCCTTAAAGTCAGTGAGGTGGATCTCGTGCCAAGAGTCTTAGTCCATGTTTAAAACCACTTCATCCATCTGGCTTATCATTTTTAGTGAGCCTTATTGGCTTAGGCATTCACTCATTGTGCTGAAAACAGACAAATATGAATACTTCTCATTCAAAAAAAATAAATGACTGGATTTCAGAATGTTTAATCTCACCAATCCATGACTACATTTCCTCCCTCTGTTTCTTCTGCCAGCCAGTCGTCCTTCTGCTTTTGGACATAACGCCCATGTTGCCAGTTTTGGAAGGTGTTGTCATGGAACTGCAGGACTGTGCTCTTTCACTTCTGAGAGGTAGACATATGAAAGCACAACATATATGTATTCATTAAGCTTTTTGGTCAAATAATTATTTATGTATGCTTTTTGCTTGTGTGTTCCTTCTCCAGTTAGAACTAGATGCCCCACTCAGAAATGCAGAAGTATAAAATGCATTTCAGATAGATGACTGTAGCCTATCAGTCATTCAGTCATTATTGGTCTCTTTTTTTACTTTGGGCTACAGCTGACTCCATGTGGGAATGGGGGGGAGTAAAATTACATCTATTGCAGATCTTTGAACCGGCATGTGGAGCGGATTTTCTCTTTTATCTTGTCAGGAATTAAACTTATACAGTCTGACCAGCTACTGAAATGACAGAAGCTTGTTCTGGATGCTGGAAGAGAAGGTCACAATTTCTTTGATTAAAATCTAATGCCCTTCTTCTAATCTGTGATAGAATTTTCTTCTCAGATTTTTCATTATCCTGATTTTTTCCCTTTGGAAAAGTTTGATGAACACATTTTGCGTCATTATTTTAACTCCTGTCATGAGGTGCCATTACGTGCCATCTCCATTGTGACCTGGATTGTTTTTCCAATGAAGTGGTTCAGCCCATTGCTTTGTTCGGACAGAGGCTGAGAGGCCCCTGTATTAACCAACCGCAGTGCAAAGACAGCGCTTCATGCACTGAGATGGGTCATGCCAGACACAAAATGATGCAGCTTGTAGACTATCTGGTTACAGCTAAATATACATTTTAGCTCATTGGAGAGTTCTCAGAATACCGTTGTACTTGTTTAATATGAGTCATTCTCCTTTGTTGCTAAAAAACAAACAAAAAAAGTAGTTTATGAAAACCTAAAATACTTAGTTTTCTATTTCTATAGAGATTATTCCCACTGACAAGGAGGAGGTGGCCTTCAAAGACCTGGATGTGGCCATCCTGGTGGGCTCAATGCCCAGGAAGGAAGGGATGGAGCGGAAAGACCTGCTGAAAGCCAACGTGGCCATCTTTAAGAGCCAAGGAACAGCCTTGGAGAAGTTTGCCAAGAAGACAGTCAAGGTAAAAAACAAAATACTCTGCACATTTCATCTTTGATGCATACTTCTTCTTCTTTGAAGTTGCATAATTGCTCCCTGAAGCCTAAGTTGTGAGTATTACTGTAGATAAAAGAGGTCTGTCTTTTAAATGTGGTTGTTTTTAGGTGCTGGTTGTGGGAAACCCTGCCAACACCAACTGTCTGATCACAGCCAAGTCTGCTCCCTCCATCCCCAAGGAGAACTTCTCCTGCCTCACCCGCCTGGACCACAACCGGGCTCGCTCTCAGGTTCGTCCTGCACCCTCAGGCTTCGTTCACACTCAGATTTTTATCAGCTATGACAACTGGATGGACTCTCCATCTCACAGGTGGCAATGCGCTGTGGCGTCCCTGCCACTAATGTGAAGAATGTCATCATCTGGGGCAACCACTCGTCCACCCAGTACCCAGATGTGCACCACTGCACGGTCAACATGTCAGGCAGTGAGCTGGCCTGCTTCGATGCAGTCAAGGATGACGCTTGGCTCAAAGGAGATTTCATATCTGTGAGATGATGACTAGTCTGTATACCAGAAATGTGTTTGTACGATGGTCAGACAGCTATGAAAACCAGTTATTTGTTTTTAGACTTTTAAAATCGCACAACAGCTGCCAAAGTTTTAGTCTTAATGCTTAAAGCTTCTGCGTACAATTTTTTAAAACATTTTATAACTTACAGACAGTTCAGCAGAGAGGTGCTGCAGTCATCAAGGCCAGGAAGTTGTCCAGTGCCATGTCTGCAGCCAAGGCCATCTGTGACCACATGAGGGACATTTGGGCTGGCACTCCAGAGGTAACCATCAAGTTTTTTTTTCCATCACACAGCAATTTAAAATATCTACTTCTAAGTCTTGTTTTGGCAGGAGTAGACTCACAGAAGTCTTACATTTCCCTGAAATCAATCCAACCAATATGCGTTCGACATATTAAAGGGATACTTTGTAACAATTTCATTTTTTTATTTCTTGAGCCAGTGTGTGCGAAAATGACCCTTTACAGGTTAACGAAATACCACTCAGACCACCACTGCCCTCTGTGGCCAGAATATTCCACTCGCAACTTCAGACTGGTGGGCCACTCTGACGGGAAAATTGAGCTGACATACCTGGCACTGCAGTCTGCTTTCATCAGGTTTAAGATCATGAACACAGTGGATTTGTTTAATTTAGTACTGAATCACTCCTGTAGACACTAAGGAAGGCTGAGGAGACGTTTCAACTGTTAGATTAAGGTGTTAAAAGACGAATGCATAAGTTTTGCTTTCGGCTCTACAAACGGACACAAGGGGGTGCTAAAAGCAAGCCAAAACCACCTAGTTCCCAAGTAACAGCTCAGAAATTAAAAATGGCAAATGGCTTGTACTTGTACAGTGCTCTCTATAGTTCCTAGTTCCACAACTCACTCTAGGGGTTCTACAACACATCCAGTTATTCACACACACACACACACACACACACACACACACACACACACACACACACACACACACACACACACACACACACACACACACACACACACACACACACACACTGGTGGTGATGAGCTACAACATAGCCATAGCTGCCCTGGGGAACACTGACAGAGGCGAGGCTGAGGTGAGCACAGGTGTCACTGATTTCTCAGACCACCACCAGCAGGCAAGGAGGATGCAGTGACACAACGACTGTGATGGACTGAGCGGGTTTCAACCCTCCAGTTGCGGGGAGAGCACTCAACTCCTCTGCCACCGTCATCCATTCATTAAGCTATAATTCCTTATGTTAGCAGCTTAGAGCCATTCACAACAGATACTGTGAGGGGAAACCACAAAATATTGTATATTTTCATTGTTTTATTAAAAATCATGTCATTAGGACATTTGCATATTTTTGATGAATATAAAATTTTATCAAAAGCAGTTTATTTCCTTAAAACTATCTAAAATGTGAGCTACAAGTGCAATGGTTGAATGAAGGCGCTTCACCATTTTGTCACCTTCCTGTAGGGTGAGTTCACCTCTATGGGGATTTACTCCACTGGAAACTCCTACGGAGTCCCAGAAGACCTTATCTACTCATTCCCTGTCCAGAACAAGGTAGCATTGATCTATGCCTGTTTTCACTCATCTATCAGTTTATTTGTGTTTCTCATCCAGCTGATTGGTGCTCAAATTAACATTGCTTGATTGCATCCATGTTCTTATAAGTGGATATTTGATTTTCCTGTAAAAAAAAGTATAGATTAAATGATTGCATGTGTTAAAATCCCTCAGGACAAAAGCTGGAAGATTGTGGACGGTCTGGCGATTAATGCATTTTCTCGGTCAAAGATGGACGCCACAGCAATAGAGCTGATAGAGGAGAGAGACATGGCTGTGGCTTTCCTGGCAGTATGACTAAACCCAACACACCCACTACTCCAGCAAGTAGACAGCCCCAAAACTCCAGATTCACGCCTGTGATGAAGTGCTCAGTCAGCCCATTCGTCACTCAGTGAAGGTGTGTCTGAAAGAGAAAGTCAGTCTTTATGATTGTAAAGATGGATTTACGTTTGTGCATTAAACAGGAATGGGTTTGAGGAAAGATGTAATTTGTGATCTAGAAGATTTATTGGACAGGATTTGTTTCATGTTCAGTAGAAAGCAGAGTCGCTCCTTCTAATGACATAACTTCACTAATAAACTCCAAACATGGTTCTCTGGGTGTGAATGAATGGATGACTATTACATAAAGTCAGACCTGCTCTGTGTCTTCAAGCACTGTGGCAGATAACTTAAAGAATAAACACTTTAAACAATGAAGGTGTTTCTTGTTATTTATATTTTTTACTCAAAGGGATCCCGATTGGGCTTGAAGCTGATGCATTTTTGTGCTTTTGGCAACAGCTTATGATTTCTTGTTGATTAACTTTGATCTTAATGTGTCTATCCAAACTAAGAAGATGTGCAAAGTTATCTGATGATTCAAAATTCACTAAGTCTGGATCCTTTCTGTATTGTACTAGAAATATGAAGACGGATCTTGTACTGGACTGTGTGGTTGCAGGGAAAAGCTCGGAAAGATTTGATGGACCAAGAGAATATAATCAATATGACAGTTAGTTTGGTTGAAAAAGATCATTTAAAAACATTTCATAGCTATATTATGCATTTCACTTCACTGAATATAAATTGGTGAAACAATCTTGCAAGCATCAAGCAACGTATGCTCTGCAAAAAGATGCATTCCAAACTCCAGTAAAGGAAAACAAGTTTAGATGTGAAAAACAAAAGAAAAAAATGGATCTGTTCAAAAATTTGATGCAAACAAAGTTTCACATAAATGTAAACAGGACATCAAATTATGCAACAGCAGTCCTAACCTGAGACTCTTTGGACAATGGTGTCCTATCACCATATTGCGCCCCCCCCCCCCCCCCTGTTTAAATAACACATTTATTCTCATGCATTTTTCTGTCATGAATTTTTCAGAATTTATTTATTTGTTGTTTTCGTTTTACTTTTAAGTTTTACAAATCACAGATTTATGTGGTTATAAATTGTTTAAAAGGAATGTTATCTTTCTGAAATAATGACAAGCATGGTTAGAATTCTAGTAAATGCTTATTGATATTTATTGTGTTTTCTCAAATGTGAGTAACACACAATAGAAGGCTAATGAATAGTGCCTCTAATACATCATAAACCAGGTGCATCTTTACTCGTGCATCAAAACTTGTGCATGTTTGCTCTGCAGGTTTGGTCTGCAATGACTCCTGCAAACAAGATGTATAAGCTATATTTTGAGAAGCCTTTTCAGCAGAGTTGGGGTATGGAAGCTGCTGAACAGTGAAAAGGCACAGTTTGGCCAGACAGGGGCGTTATTTCCACATTTTTATTTCCCAGCTGCTTCGGAAGTGCTTATGCAACATCTACACTGCTGTTAATCAGGTTCACAGCGGGCCATCATTGATCAAAACAGCCAATAAATGAACAAAATGCACTAGGAAAATGAACATCTACAAAGTGAAAGGGGATAATGTCATCTGCTCGAGGAGTTAAAAGTACAGTTATAAATCAAAATGTAGATGTTAATTAATTATTCAAACTTAAACGTCAGCGTGAATATCAAGTTTGAGGAGGTATCAAATGATCCTAGGGTGCGCCTTTAAACCCGGAAGCATATAACTCAATAAGGCACGTTGCAAAACATTATTGGTGGTTGAAAATACGTCACATAAATAACGCGTTTCCATTGGTTCCCCATCTCCGTTGCCTGGACGGAATGGTACTATTGTAAAAAATCTGCATACCATTCCTCTCTTTACGGTTTTCATCCTTGTTTGTTTTGTTTTGTTTACTTCTTCGGGGCGTTTAAAACTCAGGTGTTTTGAAGGGACAACCAATTAAAAAAGGAAATATTAACTGCCTGCTGGGCGCAGTTGTCCTTCAGATCTGCAGAAGCAGGCAGGCCGACCCCATCGACTTCTTCCGCCTGCATCCTACAGTCGAACAGTAAGAAAATACTCAAACATTTTAGAACATTTTGGCCATGTTTTCGCTTAAAATACCATTGAATGGCAATAAATTATCGTTAAACAGTCGTTTAATTTCGTTTGCGTCCGGTTTTTGGAGCATTTAGCTAAAATCAAACGTTCCTTCTGTGCGGTGATCTAGGACCATAGTTTATTTGGACGTGTCCTCCTCAGGGGCTGCATTTCTGTAGGACGCACTGTTCCCCTGAACTCACCCATGCACCATTCATTCATTCATTCATTCATTCATCTCTGCAGTCTGTAACCTCAGTGTGTGGACAAGACATAAGGGCGACGTTTTAATACAAATGGTTAATGTTTGACAGATTTTTTTTTTTTGGTCGTCGGATTTATTGGCAGGGGGCGAGGCGGAGTTTGTAGGAAATGTGGCCAGACTCCAGAGGTTTGTTGAATTCACAGCCAGGATTTGTGACGTGGTTTGTAGTAATGAGGCTGGACGAAGAGGCAATCTCCGCCAGCAGTAAAACATTTCTGCCAGATCCGATCCAGCCAGTTATGTGTGAAGTTTGATGTGCCGACATGTTGGCCGTTTTCCAGAGAGCGATCAGATAAATGTTGATCGGGTGATTGTATATTTTTCTTTCCGCCTTTTTAATGGGAACGCGAGCTTCATACGATGACTAATGAGCTAAAGCTTCGTTTTAAGGCTTGGTGATCTTAATGAATAACTCCTCAGCTTTAAGAAAATCATCCAGAAAACTTTCGCCTTCGTTTACGGGATGTGCGTTCAATGACGCCTCGGATTTTCTCAGGAATATTGAACTTGAAAACCTTCCACTTCTACTGCTTTGGATTTAAACGGCGTGTAACTGAACTTGTTACTAATTGGCATCTTAACCATGACAGTTTATTTAGAAGGTAAGTGTTTCCTTATTTGATAGAGAAACACACACAAACTGTACTACTTCCCTGGAGTTTGACATCATTTCCTTAAATATGGCTCAAATACAGATTAAATTCCTTATTTTAGGAAAGGTTATGAGCCAACTTGCTGAGTTTTTAATCACAATACTGAAATGATTCATCAGAGTCGATTACAGCAACCGTGTTACCTGATAGTTCTTTACCTGTGTGCTTTTATCTGTTATCAGTCTGGCCTTTGTTAGAGTCGGTAAACCAACTAAGTTCTGGTCAAAGTTTCAAATAGATTTCTCTGAACTTGCACGTTTGCATAATTGAGACACAGCGCTCAGCCTTCCTGAAATGCCTCAATCACAACAGATTTTAGAATGAAGGTGACGTTGATGTGATTATTTGTCTGATTAGATGAAAATGTGTTTATCTTTGATGCAACATCATAGTCATAAAACTTGTAATTGGCTCACTGCTTCGGTAAACGTCATGGTTGCACATCTGGGAAAAACTGGTTAGACGGCTTCCAAGCTGCCAACAAATCCTGTCTGCCATTCACGCAAAACATTTAGTGAAGTGGGAAAAAAAATACCCACTTGTTGCATGATGCTGACTTCCCTAAACTAGGATCTCTTTTGACCGTTGGCCAGTAACCTAAAAGCAAACGCCTCTAAACACCTGTCCTTTCACCAATTTAACTTCACATCCCAATAAAATCTTTAGTGAGTCTGTAGTGCAGCTTGATAACCCTCGCCTCGACTTTATACTGCAGATTTTGCTCATGTGAAAAAAGAAGATTTACCTTTGGCGTTTTTATTTAAAGCGTTTCAGGAAACAGCAGTGGGACGAAGAAGAGTAAACAGAAAAGATTTAATCTAGTAAACCATCTGTCATATTTGTTGACTTTGTGCTTGGCCTGCTTTTTATTTTCTTCTCCCGTTACCAACATGGCTGCTCAGTAGGGCTGCAACAACGAATCGATAAATTCGATGAAAATCGATTACTAAAAGCGTTGGCAACGAATTGCGTCATCGATTCGTTGTGTCGCACAACTCTTCCAAAAGCGCCCCCCCCTTCCCGCCCGCCGTTGCGCGCAGACCAGAGCAAGTCAGATCAGCGCGAGGGAGAGCCGCAGATCAGCGCGAGGGAGAGCCGCAGATCAGCGCGAGGGAGAGCCGCAGATCAGCGCGAGGGAGAGCCGCAGATCAGCGCGAGGGAGAGCCGCAGATCAGCGTGAGGGAGAGCCGGTACAGGCAGATCAGCGCGAGGGAGAGCCGGCAGACTTGAGCTGCTGCGAACCGGTTCCGCATTGTTGCACAGCGATCCAGGCAGCTGCTTCCAGCGCACGGTCCATTCTCAAAGTGGCGCAACCCAAAAACTATAATTAGCACACGATCGTTCATGTCCGCACATGTTCTCTATTTTCTGTCTTATTTGTGCCTGAAGCGCGCTACTGCGGAGCTCATCACCTGTGCTGTGGTGATGTCACCTCACGCAGCATCGAAAACGCGCTCTGCGCTTTTCGGTCAGGAGATCCCTTTGACCTGCTCAAAAGTAACTGATGAGGTGAAAAGGTAAGAATCCAGGCAACAGATTTTCTGGAGAGTTTAGAGGAGATGCAGGAAGATGAGAGACAGACAGGACAGGAAAATAGTTCAATAAAAACAAGAAAACAAAACAAAGTGTTGAAAAGTAAAATGTAGGTAGATTTATCTCCACTACACGTTTTTACCAGTAAAAAACAATAAGTTATACACATGTCATATTTATACATCTGATACAATTCAGATCACCTTCAAAACTCAGTCACACACCCAGGGCCGTTTCAAGACATTTTGGGGGCCAAGGCAAAATGCCCCCCCCCCCCCCCCCAATAACTGGGCTCCCCAGAAGCCTCTGTGTAATTCATACCCTCTCCAGTAGTGTTAGTTATACGGTGTTTATAAAAGCCCCTCAGACATTACTGACATGTTCTAATATTATCAGATGAAAAACTAAATTATCAGACATGCTGTCTCATCTGCTTATTTTATAAACTTGCAAAAAGTAACAAAACCATTTGAAAGCCACTATTTGTGGATTCTCTGAAAGTTTCCATGGAGTGTGTGACAACTTATTTTTTCATTGATCCTATCGTCTAATCTCACAGCTGAAACAAGCATCCTTAATAATCTGTGCACAGGAAGCTTACCGATGCTGTAGTAAAACAAAAGGTATAATAATTTATTATTAATAAAACCTTGTTGCAGCACTAAAGCAGAAAAATTAGATTTTGCATTAAATATGCAAAATATTTACATATGAATTGTTTTAGAGCCCTTTAATTGGCAGAATCTGATATTAATTTAGTTCTTACAAAAAATGGGTCCCAACATGGTTTGTGTGGCGTTGCCATAGTGTGACGTCATAGGCACAGATCCCCTGTCCTCTTGTTTGGAAATGGAAATATGATCACCCTACATTAAACAATCTGTCCACCCGGGCTTTTGCACTGCACAGAGACGCTTCGCTGCCTATGACTGAACGTCAGTTGAGAGTCAGTCTCATGCAGACTGACCAATGAAGAGAGGGCCTCAAGTTAAGACCCTCTCCTCATTGGTCAGTCCACACGAGGTGGGTCAAAGGTTACTCTGGGCGGGTTACGTGTTGTCAGGCATTCAAGTATTGAGTATATTTACTGCATATTACAGTAAAATATTCTGTATGTGACCACATTATGGTGATCCTTGGGTCGTGATGATGGAGCCCTTGAATATTGTTGCCCAGGGTACAACAAAGTGTTAATCTGGCCCAGTTTCCGCCGTCACATTCCCGCAGAAACTGGTTGATCACACCGGGGCCAGACTACTAGCTTGTGGTTTTACAACCACAATGTCCTCAGAAGCAAAAACGCTTTTAAAAGGGAGGGAGGAGTCCTAACTGTTGCTGCAGGCGTGTTGTGTGAGAGTGCAGTTATATACTGGTTAATATATTTTTTGGGTTCAGTTGCTTTCATGTGGCCTAATGTGAGTCTATTTGGGATCATTGGAATGATCAGCAGCATTTCTTGATGTGACTTTATGGCAGTTGTCCAGGGCATCATCGCAAGGAGGATGGCATTCATTTACTTTTGTTTTATTTGGTATTTTTTCAGTCATTTTTGGAAATAGTGATCAATTTTGATAAATTCACAGCCTATGTTTAATTACATTTAAAATAAATGTCAACAGATGAGATCAAACAAAACAGATGAGAATTGCCCTTAAGCTGTTTAACTTGGACCAAGCATTTTAGGTCACAGATAGATGTAGCTTAGGGTCTCTGTCTATACACCTTATAAGACAATTTAGGTGATGGCATGTTGTTTTTCTGCTATTGAACTGTTTTCTAATAATGTTGTGTTAAATAAAGTGAAGGAAGGAGAGAAATAACGTTTCCCTAGCAGTTTTTAAAAATTTCCCCATGTAATCCGATTAATCGATTAATCGTGTCGAGACCCCATCCGATTAATCGATTATCCAAATAATCGTTTGTTGCAGCCCTACTGCTCAGAATAAAATCGTAAACACTGAATGCTGTGTTTAGGTTAATTATATCTTCTGTGGTATTTTTGGACGTTTAAACCAAACATTTGACTTTGTTGAGATTTAGTTGTATTTTTTACAACTCATCTCGTGTGATTTTAGGAAGATGAGGAAATAAATGTTTACTGGAAGAAGTATTATATTTTTTATGGTTTAGTTTAGAATCACTTTTTTGAAACAAAAGCTAAAGTAAACATAATCTTCCTCTGCAGTGGACGCCATCAGTTGTTTTAGTGGTTGTTTGCTGCTCCAGGATTTAGTTTAGCATTTTCGTTCAGCATACCAATTGTGAGATTTAAAAAAAGCTAAAACATGTGGTTTGAGTTTTTAAAATGAGGATCCAGAACGCCTTTCCCCCGCAGATAACCACTATCCTGTTTGTCCAGGTCTCTGTAAAGGAGTGGTCGGAAAAGGGATGGCTCAGTTCGAGGAAGTGATGCGGCAGCAGCTGGAGAGCTCTATGGACACAGAGATGGATAAACTTCTGAATACGGCCACAGGGGCAGACCGAGAGGTAACTGCCCTCGCCTCTCTGGCCATCTGATTATGATTTGGAGGTGATGACGTCATGCAGTGCTGGGAAAACACACGTTACTCATACTGGTTTTTAAAAAGGGTCCCATGACTACAGACATAACCTACTGTGATGTCAGTTGTATTATGTACAACAATGAAACCTTAAGTAGAAGCACACGTCTGCGCTGGGCGTGGACACACTCCCGAGTCTCGCTGTGGAAAATAAACCCAATCCAAAGACTAGCACTAGAGAGACTGTTAAACAAGGATAGCTCTGAAGCCAGTAAAGGAATCATAAACCAGTGCTGGCAGCATGCTCTCAGACTTAAAACGAGCACATCTAAGCGGCGTGTGTGTGTGTGTGTGACAAGCGACGTGATCTGTGCCTGATGAGGTCAGACTGGAAAGTCGGTCTGACATGACTGAGATCTTACACGCTCTCTTTGAAGTATTTGTTCATAGTGAAATGAAAAGCTCTAATGTTTTTGGAAGAGCTCTGTTTTTGGAACGGCATTTTTCTAAACATTTAGATTTCTTAATACCATCAAATGCATTTCAAAGCATTTTTTGCTGTCATCGTCTTTGGATTTCTTTTTCACTGCTGTTATGAGAGCATGTTTAAAAACTCACAGCAGGAATTTCAGTAAAACCAGCAACTCTCGTCTTACTGGTGCTAGTTTACCATCCCAGTGTGCATACTTTGATCATTTTCCTTTAGCTTTAGTTCAAAAGCAGTTCCATAGCCCTAACTGATCACCTAAGATTAGGGTTGGGCATCGCTTGATTTTGAACGATTCCGATTCCAATTCCTCATTTCGATTCCGGTTCCTATCGATTCCGATTCTGTCAAGACATGACATGCTTTACATGAGCCAGCTAACCACAGGTCCTACTTGATGAAATAATCTTAACCTCAACATGAATTTTAATTCTATGAACAATAACATCACCTTCATTTAGACAAAAACATGTTTTGGAGAAGAAAAAAGACTTGCAGCACAACCAGTGTGTTTGTTTCTGACCACAACCAAAGTCTGGAAGGAGCCTCTGGGATGAGAGGCTGAATGTCTCCAACATATCCAGAAACATCCAGCTGTTTTCAGCTAAAACTCTCAGGATGATCATGTCCAGGATGACTGAGAACTACACCTCCATGCTGCAGCAGCATTCAGTCAGAACAGGAAGTGAAACTTAAAGAGCAAGTCACCCCCAAATAAACTTTTTTTTGCTGATAAACTAAATAAACGAGTGTCTAATCGTGCTGCAGACACGTGTCTTCAATAATTTGGCACTTCAGTGCATCTTAGTTAAAATTTAAATATTCTGCCTAAAACTGGCAGTGTTGTGCCGTTGTCAGGTAAAAACTCTGCACTGTATTTTAATTTAAATCTGCCACCGCTATTGGCTAAGAAGTATGCTATGATGTAAACTGGTACATTATGATGTCACAATGCTGTCGTGAGCCTGAGTGTGTGTGTATTTGTTAGCGGCTCCGCCCTCTCGGTCTGCCAGGCAACAGCATGTGTTGCATTTTTCAAACATGAAGCGGGAGTGGAGTTAGACTCTGGTAGGGGTTGACTTGCTGCTGTCAGTAACATCCTAACAGATTTTAAACATTAAAACTCTCAACAGAAATAGTTCAAAAAGGAAATTAAAAATGTTATTTATTTTTATTATTATTTATTGTGGCAGAAGCTGGTGTGGTCCACCACAGAGAAGCTGCTCTAGCATGATGACTAATTATTCTGCAGGTTATGGTTCAGCCTTCTGACACTCATGCTCACACACGAGTGTTGGTGAGCGGCTGTGTCTGACTGCTGATGCTCCGTGTGTGTTTTTATTTCTGCATCGAGACAAACTGACCTCACACCATCCAGAGTTTGTTCTTTAAAGCTTCTATTAAATCCACCATGTTGACGTATTTAACGTTTCCTGTACGCTGCAGCAGTTAAAGTTTACAGTTTACTCCACCTCGCCACATTCACATTACGGAGTAAAAGTTCGGCAGACCGTTTGTTTATATTTGGCCGCTGCGCACTGGGAGGGGGGACTCGGTGCTGCACACAGACAGCTGGTGTGATCAGCTCTGAAATGTGTTGATCACAATTTACAGATCACGTTTATTTTTCAGAGATCAGCCGCGGATTCCTCTTCCACCGGCATTCTAGGAATCAAACTAACAGTTGGAACCGGTTCCAATCGATGCTCGATGCCCAACCCTACCTAAGGTCAAGGGGTCTCCATGTATGACCCCCTAACAAGTTCAAGATCAGAGACTTTAATCTCATGGAAAATTGTTTATTTTATGCTCTTAATGAGGTTGTATTTGCCTGTTCAAATGTAGCAAATAGAAATATAATCTTGCAAATGTAGTCAGTTTTGCTACCCTCATAACTTTTAATAAACTCGGCAAATCAACTTTTGAATCTTTAACTGGAGCTTTTGTAATAAAATACCATGTGGGGCATTGGAGAGGAAATGCAGTAGAAGGAAATACATGGTTTCCGTGAGATGACTTTGCACATTTACCAGCAGTTTTTTTTAAATCCTTTTTGTTCTCTAGTTTGAGTTTTGGTTTTATTTTCTGATTGTGCTGCCTTAATTCCTTTATTCAATTAACACCCGTTGTGTGTCAAAATGTGTTTCAGGTGTGCAGGAAAGACTTTGCGGGCTTCAAGAATCTCTTCCACAGATTCTTGCAGGTGAAGGGCCCATCCGTGGAGTGGATCAAGATCCAGAGACCTCCTGAGGACTCGGTAAGTCTGCTTTATCTCTGAGAAAATGAAAGGATCAGGGTTTGTTCTCTCTGCATGATCATGGAAGATGGTCGGTTTATTGACTGCATAACTGAACAAAGCTGCTTTGAAACGCTACATCTTGCAAGTGCGGGTTCTGCGCAGTATCTTAGCTCAGTGGCGGTTCTACATCGAATTACTCCCCGGGCGAGGCCCCCTTTGAGCCCCCCCCCACCACCACCACCACACCACCCCACCTGCATGAACACACGCATGTTTTCTACAAACAGGAATGTTTTATTAGAACGACTATTGAACATTCATTTTTCTAAGTTGCACATATTTACATTAATTACTATGAAGTTGTCAGAATGTAAAGCAATATACCGTACATTATATACTGTATCAAAATATATAGAATCAAATATACAAAAACAAACAATAACTAAATATTAAGAATATATGAACATAATAGATAATAAATATTCTAAATTGCAAAAATATTTCACACGTAACAAACTAAAGATAATCACTACAGCACTGCACTTAGAATAGAAAACACAAACTAAAATTAAAACCTAACCTTGATGCAAAGTCATCAATAATGTCATCATATGAAATCTGCTCCCATACTGAGTGATTGATACTAATCAGAGCCAGGTGAGTGAGCCGCCCCTGAAACATAGGTGACCTCAGGTATGACTTGATCAAGTTTTGAAAAGCTCCTCTCAGCTTGAGCCACAGTGACTGGCAGAGCAGTCCAAAAGTTGGGGTAGATCTCCAATAGATCTCATGATCCATAATATTTTAGAATTGCCTCTGAAATTGTAATTTAAACTGACATAAAAAACTGTAGACCACCAAAAATGCCAACTTTTACAGAACAAATCATGTAAAAAATAATCAGTGCAGCCATCTGCAATAAATAAACAGGATAGTTAGTGGTGACTGGGGAGTTTTCTTCTGCTTGTACAGTTGTTTTATTTATTATTATGTGAACATGATCAACATGTGTTTGTTGTTGTTCAGGCAGGCCACAGGCTGCAGTGAGCATTTAACAAATCCTAGTTTGAATCAGTAAAAAACGATTCAAGGACTTTTTTCAAACCATTTGAATATTCGTTTAAATATTTCAGCCCTATTAGCTCTGTTAGCAATTAGTTGACCACATTTAACCGTTAAAATTCCAGTTAACTGATTCAAAAAATTGAAAACATGCATCATGAGAGCTACATACCTTTATCTTTTTGCTCGTTTTTCTTTTTTTCCCCCTGAAAGGGGGCACCTGGTGGTTTTAGCCTTTTTATGTTCATCTCTTCTGTTTGGCTCCTGACTCAGTAAGTTTCCTTTAGTCAGGACTAAACTATTTGACCTTGATGGGGGGGTGACCACAAAATCGTTTTGTTTTTCCTTTTTTTATTCGGCCATTTCACACAATTCAGAGAAACCTGAAAGAATGAGAGGCCTGTGTTTATGATATTATGAATGAAATATGGAAGAACGTTAAGATGTGATTGACTTTAGCCATGTTAATACAGTTGATTCAGCCCCTGCACGCTCATTTCATTTGGGAAAGACGCAGAGGTGAATTCCCCCGCCGCACCTCTCCCCTTCCTGTTCTTCATAGACACACGGAGCACGTGAACGTTCTCAGTCAGCAGGAGCGCCTGCAGCTGCAGGGGGCGCCAACTTGCTGTTTCCAATCCAGACACTGTCATATGACAGATAATAGAAAACCTCGGTGCGGCGCAGATTTCCTTTTTTTTTTTACTCCGCGCTTGTGCGCCCCTTTTGTGTCATGAAAAAATGCCGCCCCGGGCAACTGCCCTGTCTGCCCGTGCCTAAAACCGCTACTGTCTTAGCTGTTTGTAGAACTGCACTTTTCTGGACTGAGATGTCCGATGTTTTTCCTGGGATCTGCTTTAGCCACTCCTCCAGTCTGGGGGTTACTGCCCCAATGACCGCGGCGAGCACCACCGAAGTCTTCACTCTCCAGGCTTTCTCAAGTTCTTCTTTGAAGCCCTGGTACTTCTCTAGTGTCTTGTGTTCTTTTTTCCTGATGTTGCATCACTTCGTATTGCCACATCAAACACAATTGCTGTCCTTCTTTATCCAGCTCCACAATGTCTGGTTGGATTGCCATCACCATTTTGTCAGTCTGGATCTGGAAGTCCCACAGTCCCAGCAGTTATGTGGTGGATTGTCTCAGGGGCCTCTTTGCATAGCCTACACCTTGGGTCTTGTCTGGTGTGGTAGATCTTGGCCTCTGCTGTCCTTCACACCAGCTCTTTCTACCCATTGGTAGGATTTCTTGATATCCGCCACTTCAGTTATCTGTCTGTGGTACATCCCATGGAGGGGTTTGTCCTCCCACAATGGTAGTTGCAGGATCTCTTCCTCTGTTCGCCATTGTCTGAGACTTTCACTAAGCACGTTGTCTGTTGGTGCATTGTCCTTGATGTACTTATGGATCTTAGATGTTTCATCCTGGACAGTGGCTCTCACACTCACTAGTGCTTGGCCTCCTTCCTTATGGCTAGTGTACAGTCTCAGGGTGCTGCATTTTGGATGGAACCCTCCATGCATGGTTAGGAGCATCCGTGTCCCAATATCTGGGGTCTGTATCTCTTCCTTCGGCCAGCTTATTATTCCTGCAGGATATCTGATTACTGGCAGGGTGTAGCGGTTGGTTGCCCAGATCCTGTTTTAGCCATTGAGCTGCCTTACCTGTTGTAGGTATTTGGCTGTAGCTCCTTTCCTTGCAGCTTCATCAAGGTTGCCATTTGTTGTGGGATACCAAGGTACTTGTAGCTGTCCTCAATGTCTGCTGTTGTCCTTTCTGGGAGGGAGACCCCTTCTGTGTGGACTACCTTAAACAACCAAAACTGTCAGCTGTGCCATTAAAAAAATACCATTTCTGAAGTATGGGAAGAAGAAAAGCAGAATAATTGCGAGGGTTGGGCAGAGTTTGAAAACAACACCTTCACTCTGTTGCACAACATTAGACGTGTTTCTAGGAAAAATCCAACAAACACAAATGCTGCTACTTGTATTTCCTCCGTATTAAAACAGCTTTTATTGTTCATATTCTAAGAATCACTAGTATTGGTTTCACTCTCATATTCATAATATTTTATTATTATTTGGGGGCTTTAATTAGCATAATAGACTATACTTGTCTGGTTAGGTTTGCTGCTACAGATCCATGAATGCAGAAATGTTGAACAGGCTTGATCATAACAGTAGCCTCAGTAGTAAAATGCACCGAAAGACAATGATCACAATGCTGTGTTGCTTATAATAAATGTAAAAATCTGGTTGTGTTGTACTTTGGCTAATTAATCCGAGACAACTTTACATCAAGGCTGCGTTTCACAGAAAGAGACGTGTCGCTGCATCAGTGGAAAACTGAGCTTCCTGTTTGACCTGTTATAGCCAGAAAGGTTGCAACACTCAGAAAATGTGTCCTAACAGTCACACCTGTCTCATCATAACCAGGAGTTTTGACTGTCAAAACTTTAGCCAGCATCCGTGTCGTACAGAGATGATCCTCGTGGTGCAGCATGCAGCTCACTTTCTTTAATGCTCCCGTCACGAGAGACCCTTTCAGTGTTCGCCTGGACTTATCTTGTTCTGGGAGCTTCGAAGTAACAAAAAAATGGAAAAGATTAAAGCAGTTAAGCGTTAAAAAAATTCCTGATCCCAAAGGGGGAGATCTTTGAAGCAATGTTAACGTTAAAGAAGAAGGAAGTAGACTGTGTGTGTGTGTGTGTGTGTGTGTGTGTGTGTGTGTGTGTGTGTGTGTGTGTGTGTGTGTGTGTGTGTGTGTGTGTGTGTGTGTGTGTGTGTGTGTGTGTGTGTGTGTGTGTGTGTGTGTGTGTGTGTGTGTGTGTGTGTGTGTGTGTGTGTGTGTGTGTGTGTGTGTGTGTGTGTGTGTGTGTGTGTGTGTGTGTGTGTGTGTGTGTGTGTGTGTGTGTGTGTGTGTGTGTGTGTGTGTGTGTGTGTGTGTGTGTGTGTGTGTGTGTGTGTGTGTGTGTGTGTGTGTGTGTGTGTGTGTGTGTGTGTGTGTGTGTGTGTGTGTGTGTGTGTGTGTGTGTGTGTGTGTGTGTGTGTGTGTGTGTGTGTGTGTGTGTGTGTGTGTGTGTGTGTGTGTGTGTGTGTGTGTGTGTGTGTGTGTGTGTGTGTGTGTGTGTGTGTGTGTGTGTGTGTGTGTGTGTGTGTGTGTGTGTGTGTGTGTGTGTGTGTGTGTTTACTAAAGTCTGGAAACATTTGCTCTTAATCTGGTTTAACTTGGTCATCTTTGATCCTGATTGGGTTAACATTTTAACACCAATAAATAATAATTGTGTTCCCTCGCTGCAGATGTGTATCCTGCCCAGCAACAAAACTTTCGCCCCCCCAGAATCCTCTTCTCACGTCTGGCACAAAGCTGGAATTTCAGATGAAACCTGATGTTTTTTTTTTTTTTTTTACTTCCTGGAACATACTCTTAAACATACACTCACAAAAAAGAAGGAAAAATTAACTTTTGCTCTCTTCAGTTTTTTAATGCATTATTTTATATGAAAATCTCAGAATCTGGATAGAGAGAACACAGAAGTGGACTGGACCGAAGATGTGTGAAAGAAGGCACTTCAGTGGAAGTAAAAGGCCAGACAAAGGCAGGGAGTCTGCAGAAAAGTGGCGAAGCTTGAATTAAAATGAGGAGTTCAGTGAAACAGAAATAACAGCTCAGTTTTAGACGTTTGGGAGTTGGAGAGTTATTTATCAAGGCAGAGAGCGCCCAGAAAAACTAAAGTAAAAGATTTTGGTATAACGTCTTCCCATTAACTCAGCTAATTACATCTGTGTTATTGTGCCGACCTGCAGCAGCAATAATCACCTGCTTTATAAAAGTCAAGAATTTCAGAGGAAGCAAAGGAATGTTGGAGCCAGCCAGAGGAAAAGGAAGTCCTGATGATGTCAGCACACCTGTACATGCAGATTAGATGCTTGCACCTTGAGTCAGGTGCAGCTGACTCTGCTTCCCCTCGGTTCTGAAAAGTAGAATTACAGGATTGAGTTGATTATGTATTTCTTAGTTTTGTCAGTGTGGCTTGCTAGATATGAGTTTCAGTTGCATTATGACTCAAACTGTTCTTCCTCATTTCTGGTTTAACAAATGTGAGACCATGATTCAGCAAAGTGTTTAATCGAAATTGAAAAGTAATTGTAGCATGTTACGAAAAAATTAATGAAGGAAGCTGTTTGCATAGAAATGAAATATCAGAATACAATGAAGGGGGCAAATAAAATACAAGAATTACAACAATTTCTTGGTTAAAATTAAGTTTTCATTTAACTTGGCTATAAATTTTACCTACTTTTCTTTAATTATGGATGGTTGATCTGTAATACTGCTAGAAATTAACGAGATCTGTTTTCTTTTTTTAAAGATACAACCTTTACCTACCATGCACGTATCAAACCTTTCAGCTTCTTCCTTCACTCCAAAGGTCAAAATATGACAAATCTGAGGGTCTTTGATATTTTTTGGTCAGTTTGACAAAACTGGCCAAATTTGAAGAAGAAACGATCTTTTCTATAGTGCCTGTCTAGATAAAAATCATGAGGCGCTTCACAAGAACAAAAATCAAAAGATTAAAAATATCATAAAACTGGGAAAGGTAAAAAAAATTCTGATTTAAAAAAAATGTGAGGAAAAAGAAAGTAAAAAATAAATAAAATATTGGTAAATCATTGAATCCCGGGAAAGGTAGAATTGGTAGAACTGATTGAGGATAAGGTAGTGAGGAAGAATCAACCAATGGTCACACCAAAGCCTGAACAGGTGAGTCTTCAGCTGTTTTTAAAGGAGACCACTGAGTCCACTGATCTCAGGCTCAGGGGGAGAGAGGTCCAGAGTCTGGGGGCCACAGCAGCAAATGATCTGTCACCTTTGGTCTTTAGCCTGGTGCTGCACAACCAGTAGGCTTTGGACACTGGACCTCAGGCTGGCTGGGGGTGTAGGGGCTAAGAAGATCACCAGTGTATGATGGTGCTTGTCCAATTTAAGGCCCTAAAGACCAGAACCAGGATCTTGAAATGAACCCTGAAATTAACCCAATAATGCCTGAATTGGTTTTGAATTGAAGCTGGAGGAGGAGTGGGGTGATGTGGGTGTATTTTGATGATTTAGTCAGAAGCTGAGCACAGGCATTCCGAACCCTCTGCAGACGGTTCAGTGAGGTTCTGCTTCGACAAATGAAAAGCGAGTTGCGGAGATGAAGGTGTGGAGGTCAATCTTAAGTTCAGAGCGGGACAAAATGGGACTCAGCTTAGCGATGTTCCTGAGATAGAGAAGGAAGAGTGAACAAGAGAACTGTCAGGCTGATGGTTCAGGTCACATAAAACCAGGACAAATGGCTTCGGGGATAGCTTCTTTCCCAGAGCTATCACTGTAGTAAACAACCACAAAACCAACTGATCCTGAAAACCAAACCACACATATACTCTTTCTATATCGATCATGTGCAATAACATTTATATGTGCTATTTGTGTTTACTCAATATGCAAAAATTCTGCTTACAATAGCGACCTGCACATAACCCAACTAATGCTGCTACATTATAAATCACGTGTGTCAGACACAAGGCAACGGAGCATTTTTATGTGGCCCGCGAGAAATGGTATGTTTTAACCCCTGCTGTGTATTGTGTTTGTCCTCCCCTTTAGATCCAGCCCTACGATAAGATCTCTGCACGAGGCCTACCGAATAACGTGGCCAACAGCCTGAACAAACTGGTGGTGGTGAAGCTGAACGGAGGTCTGGGCACCAGCATGGGATGTAAGGGTCCGAAGAGCCTGATCAGCGTCCGCAATGAGAACACCTTCCTGGACCTGACCGTGCAGCAGATAGAGGTACAAAAATACTCGACTACACCCAACTTTGGAGCCCTCAGTCATGTATTTGACTGGTTTTTGTTGTGACTCTCAGTTGGCTTTCGTTTGCAGAAAACGGCTGATTGAGCTAAATCAAATAAAAACAACAAATAAACTGATCTAATGTTTACTTTAAAGACCAAGTTCAACAACAAAACCGTTTTTACTTATTATTTCTGAAATATGTTCATATTTTTGAGTTTCACAGGCGAGCTAAATGTGAAAAAAGTCTTCTGCCCCTACTTCCTGCATTAGCTTCTGACAGAAAACAGATGGAGAAATGTTTGGATTAGAGAAGCCACTCAGATCTACGTCACACTGAAAAGTAGCTTTCATGGACCTGCCCTTCTTGGCTCGTCATGGGGGAAGGTTGTTGTTGGTTTAGCATCCAGGAAACGGCAGAACATCTGCTAACAGAAGCTAACCGTTTGCATTAGCAACTCCACAACACAGCAGAACTTTTTCATGCTTGTGTTATTTGTGCAGATAAAACATTGTTGCAGAGCTAACGGAGTCAGTGGTAGAGTTGGGTGTTAGCCAATCAGAAGCGAGATATCTGAATAACAGGAAAAAGTCCTTCTGCCTTCTGCTCGCCTCTACTCTGGCTCACTTCTTCCTACAAAAGGAGTGCCAGAGCTTTTTTTCCCCACGGAGATCGACTCACAAGGCATTTTGCACGTACGCAGCACATTTATTGGGAAAAATAAACAAGTGAACTTAAAAAAAAACAACTTGGTGTCTGCAGACTTGGTTTTTGTAGGCGGTGCTCTCGCTGAGGCTCCGATCCAGCAGCAGCGTGGTCTGAGAGGCGTCGCAGGACTTGGTGGAGACGTGACAAACGTCTGCTCTGGGTCAGGTGTGTCAGGTCTGCGTGCCATCCTGAAAAACTCCGCTTGTTCGTCCCGACAGAAGAACTCGCAGAAACACTGAATTTAAAAAATTAAATGTGTTGAGATAAAAATCACAAGCATGTGCTGGCGGTGAGGATTTGTTCTTTTTGGCCTTTTGATATTTCTGAAAGTGAGCTGAGGTTTTCTAGAGGGGGGGGGGGGGGGGGGGGGGGTTGCTGGCAGGGAAACAGAGAGGGCTGTGTGCTCGTGCAGATGTTTGGACCCCATCAGTTTAGAACCACTGCGCATTAGTAAAGTAAAAGAATCAGATGTTGGAGCAGCTTTTTGGAGAAACCTGATCTAAATTAGATGAAGCTTTGGGAGTATCTGGAGTCTCCACATGAATGTGACGTAGACCACCTGATTCAGGGTGCGTTTCTGTCTAGAGTCTAAAAGTCTCCTGGGGCTCTGCTCGCTTTCCAGCACTTTACCTCTCAGGTCAGATTACCTGCAGACTCAAACAGTGTGTTGAGAGGGCAGAAGAAACCAGATCCTGTGTGGGAACACCTCTCAGAGCCACCCGCTTTCCTCCCAAAAAACAACGTTAACCCTAAAACGTTCCCGCTGTTATATCAACAGAGCATTTACCCTGCAGAGCTGGAAAATGGCCTCACTGATGCATTTCTACATATCTAAAAGGATGTTTCAGTTAAAAAATCTACACGGTCATAAAAATGGTTTCTTTGTATTGTGATTTCTCACTTGGGAGTATTTGGGAAGAGGTTTCTAAATCGGTCTCCTACATCCCTAATCACACCTAAACCCTACAACCTAAAGCCTGCATCTCAGAGAAGGATCCGGTTAGTGTGGAGACGCTGCTCCTCGTGCGTTCCACCTAAAGTCAACACGCTGCAGAGCAATGCTGTCAATCCGCTCTTTGTTCAGTGTGTGTTTGCAGTGCAGAACAGGAGCAGTGTGTCGGGTAAAACAGCTTTTTTTTTTTTTTTTAAATAATCCCACCGTTATGCACACACAGGTTACAGCTTATGGAGGTCGCTATGAGAGGGAAGTTGCACGTTGGCGTTCCTAAACAGCCGACTCTCTTTATTCCTGAACGTTTGCTGGCTGGGACACGAGAAACTTCTAGTTTTATATCTGGCCAGGTCACAGGGAGTGTAGGGTACAAGTGCTTTAGCCTGGACTGTCAGACTCCTCCTCTGTCTAATTCTGCACAGAGAAACTTTCTCTGTCCGACGAGTCTGACAGGCCAGGCTACAAATGCTTGCAGCTGCAATTTTTTTAATTTGTTGCCCTTCAGTCTAAAATCTTCGTATTTTTCTGGATTTTCACTCTTTTAATCCTAATTTTGTATCAAATGTTTCTCAAAATTGTCTCAGATTCCTTCTACTTTTTACCCCATGGTAGTTTAACATCTGTTTACATTTCTCATCACCATTCAGTTTCCTTTGTATGTTTATCAACCCCCCCCCCCCCCCCACACACACACACACAGCTGTCTCACATTTCTCACTCTTTATGAAAATAGAATATAAAATAGAAGTTTTCGTGAAAGATAGCATACTGCTGCTGTTTTGACAGAAAACAGTTTTTATTCATAATCTTTAAAAACATTAGAATAATTTCAGAAACACTGAGCGAAGCCCTTCAGCTCATGAGATGGAATCAGAAGTCTTGCAACGACTTTGAGACACTATGGAAAGTCTATTGGGAATGTCATCCTTATAATGCGCAACCCTCTGTTTTATTTAAAAAAAAAATCATAATAACGAGTTTAGTTTGTCAGCTTTGTACTTTGTCCTGTTTTCTCTGCTCTCCAGTGAATGCCGACTAAAAAGAGTTGAATACGTTTGTTTTTGTTGCTCCGCAGCACCTGAACAAGACGTACAACACAGACGTTCCTCTGGTCCTCATGAACTCTTTCAACACAGATGAAGACACAAAGAAGATCCTGCAGAAGTACACGCACCACCGAGTGAAGATCCACACCTTCAACCAGAGCAGGTCTGTGTTTGAAGTCAGATGGCTGCGTAAATCCTAACGATGCTTTTCTGGTCGGTTAGCTGGAGTTGTGGTGTGCAGCTCCTGGTTCTGATCTCAAACGGGCCAGAGCTGCAGCTTTCAGACAGGAAACGTCCTGCAGCCTACGGAAACGCTTGTACATAATTAATGCTGTAGTGTCTCCAGCTCGCCAGCCAAGCGGAACTTGCTTTTTACCGTTTCCTCTGAATTATTCATAGCCCTCGTGTGTGCTGTGTGCCCGTGGGAGTTCAGTACAAAGCATTTTGGGACAGCAACATGCTAGCTCCAGGATTTATTGTCATCACAGGGAAAGTGGTTGAATAGCTTTAAGTGTCAATCAACGTGGGAACAAAGAAAAGTTGAGGTCATAACGGTAATTCATGAAAATCCAATTAAAGCCAGCTTCAGTGTCACGCTGGCTGCTGTTCCAGTTAATTTAAGGAAAACAATTGGCGTCAAATGGGAGACAAATCCATAAACCGTTCAGTCTCTTTGATTGTGTTTAGGCTCAAACAGACTTCCTGGGAGGGGAAAATGAACCTGTCTCTTTATGCTTTAAACATCGACTTTTGGTTGGAAGGGGCCAGAAAATCCAGAATTATTCTAGAAACAAATCTCAAAACATGGAGAAAATCCAGCTTTTGTGTTGTAACGGCTAATTCAAAATGAAACGCTGCTAATGGAGTTAGGTGGACTCGATATAAAAGAAAAACTCAGACAGCAACTAAAAAGTTATGGGTCCCCACCAGGAGGTACGGTTTAATAAACATTTGAATCTAATCTGTACTTTTTTCCCTGTAATCTATAATCCTGTTTTTTATGAAGGGGCTATTCTTGGTCTGACAAGTTAGGAGGCTTCTCCAAGTTTCTGTCTACTGCAGCTCGTCCTGGCAAACAAATATTAGAAGTTTAACTTCCTGCTTCACTGCTGATAAATAGTCTAATATCCTGATAAATACACCAGAGTGAGCAAACACATCGAGGATTTCTGCTCCAAAAACAAGTTTCAGGATCAAGAAATCATCTATTAAGGCCCCGAGGCACAAAATAATAACAGAATCATACAAGAAAGCTGCTGATGAGATGAAATAGTCTAAAGATTTTTGTTGTGTTTTCAATCCAAAAATCTACAAGAACTTTTATAAGAACAAACAAATTGAAATGTTGGCTAAGATTTTAAACAATCTTTCATTTGAAAGACTTCATCTCTTCACTCGACAGCTCCTCCTCTGCTGAGAATGTTCCTCCTCCAAAAGCTGCGTCGCTTTTCGCTCGGTGATCAGATTTGGTAAAAGTCCGGATGGGAAACACTTTGGTCGGTTTTCATGTGCTCAGCGATGGCGGCTCTGGTGGTTTGTCTTGTTTCATCTTCGGCCTTCTCGACAAAGAGTAAAGAAAAGATCTTCTAAGGAGTCGTTTTAAGTTACAGCAATAATAAATGATGTGCCTGGCTAGTTTCACCTCAGACTTGAACCAAAAGACTAAAATGTCTAATGAAGAATCGTGTTGAATTAGGCAAAAGTCATTATGCAAATGTTGCAGGTTTAATATACAACGTTCACCGTTTGACAAACGGATGTAAAGAAGTCGAGATTTCTGATTTCTGTATAAATCTATGAAATAATAAACTATGGAAGACATGAATGTTGTTGTCTTTCCCTTAAATGCAAAAAATGAAATGGCATTTAAAACTAACAAGAAGAAAATTCCTAGGTGCATTTATTCTTTACTCACAGGAAACTCATGAATTCAACCTTTTGCACCAAACCGGGTTGAGCGTTTACACTTTAGGTCTTTATTCAGTTCTTTTAGAGAGATTTCTTTTGTTTTTATGAGCTGGTTGTTTAAGCTGGAAGAGGGCTCGAGAGAATAAAACGTTCCATTTAAATCTGAATCTTTGTTGGAGCCAAACCATATTGAGATTTTTCTGCCTTGTTCAGGTATCCTCGCATCAACAAAGAGTCTCTCCTCCCCGTGGCCAAAAACCTGAGCATGACCGGCCAAAGCGCTGATGGCTGGTACCCTCCCGGTCACGGAGACATCTACGCCAGCTTCTACAACTCTGGTCTGCTGGACCAGCTGATCACGCAGGGCAAAGAGTACATCTTTGTGTCCAACATCGACAACCTGGGAGCCACGGTGGACCTGAACATCCTGCACCACCTGGTCAGCCAGCCCAACGGAAAACGCTGCGAGTTCGTCATGGAGGTGACGGATAAAACGCGCGCTGACGTCAAGGTAGAGGACAGGGTTACCGTTGGACGTGGTCCGCTGTATTCTGCCTCCTAAAACAAAGCTGTAAATGTGCTGACTGTCGTTCCCAGGGAGGAACGCTGATCCAGTATGAAGGGAAGCTGCGTCTGCTCGAGATCGCCCAGGTTCCCAAAGCCCACGTGGACGAGTTCAAGTCGGTTTCAAAGTTTAAGATCTTCAACACCAACAACCTGTGGATCTCTTTACCTGCAATCAAAAGGCTGCAGGAGCAGAACGCCATGGACATGGAGATTATCGTCAACCCGAAGGTGGGTGAGGAGGAACCCAAATTTCACATCTTCTTGTTTTAACTCTTCGTCAGCCGCAGTTGTTTCCAAACGTCTTCTGCTCCACACGAGGCTCCTCCCACAGGTCTATTTTTGGGAAGGCGTTCAATCTGTGCATTCCTTCAGGGTCTTAAAATAGGAGACGCTTGTCCTCCTGCAGCCAGGATCAATCAGCTCTGAATGCTCCTCCAAACCAGCTCACGTAGAGACACTGAAGATGAGTCAGAGCAAATAAAGTGGACAGAAACTTAATACCAACACCAACAGGTTATTTTTTTTACTTTCCCCACACGGCCTGGTCTTTTAGGTGAAACAAGAAACTCATTACGTCCAAATTTTTATGGCCTTCATGAGCATTTCTAGCTTAATCACTTGAAGCTTGGATACTTTTCTTACACTGTGTCCTGTGTGATAAAAGCTCTTAAAAACCTGTCATTTAAAACCCAACGCGTCCCACAAACACAACCTGATGTGACCTTATTCTGTGTGTGTGAAGCACAACACACCTCTGCAGAGACATTGGCTCAGGATGTGAGAATATGTCACTAATGTACTAAATTCCCACCGAAGCCCATCTCAGCCCAAACAGAGTTAATAGATTTAAGCTGCACAAAGCCTCACGCCGTGACCAAACAGGGTTATGTAAGTAATAAAGGTGTAGAGCTGCGTGACTTTTTCCGTTTCCAGCCCCGTGCATGTTAAAATCATGTCCACTCCAGGGCCTCAGAGTGGGGGTGTTGCCTAACTGCCTCCTACAGATGTGTACCCGAATGTCTTTTTACATCACAGAAACCTCTTGAGCTAATTTTAAATGCTTTTAATTCTCAAATGTACAAAGTACTTTATGAGAGCTGCATCAACATTTAGAGGTAAAAGGCTGAAGGTGGGGAGCAGTTTTCATTTACTTTAGAGAAGCTTAGAAATGGAAGTTTAAAAGATGTCAAAATCCCAGCGATAAGAAAGTTTCCATAAAAAATCACCAACTAGCATTCTCGTGGGTACAAGTAAGTGGCTTTTCTGAGTATCTGTGACCTCCTGTAAACATTTTAATGGACTTAATGGTCCTAATCATTGGTCTTGTATCTTATTTATTAGAGGACAAAGTCTTTTGTGTGTAATTGTTCCATTTAGGGTAGAATGAAGGTCAGAACAAGGTAAGATGTGGTGCTGTTTCAACACATCTGTGTGTGTGTAGGTGTGTGTGGGCGGGCCCAGATGTTTTAGATGAGGAGCTTTAATCTTTTTATGTGTCCGATGACTGGAAGGTTTATAGTGATGCACACAGACTGAACCCTAACCCATAGCAAAAGCCTTCCTCCCGTGCTCGTCTTCATACACAGACTTCCTGTTAGTGTTGTTTTACCTTTTTAAATAGAGATGTAAAAAAATATCAGTGCACTGAATTTGTTATGATACTGAATTGATATTTAAAAGCAGTTCATCAACATTTTAGTGAGAATTTATAGAGAAACATTTCCAGTATTTCTTTTGTGAGGTGCAGTTCTAACTCTGACAGCTAGGTGGCATCACTTTTTACCGCCTTCATTCTGGCGGAACAACCCAGACCTCACGAAAACGTTGGATGTGTCTTTGAAAAGTCCGGCCTGAGTTTTCCAGTTAGTTTCAGTCTTAAAAAATGACAAATGTCACGTGGCTTTTAGGATCACAGTCTATCGTATCGTCTCCCCTGTGTACCCCGCATCACCAGATACACCCCCCCCCCACTTTAAAACTCATGGACGTGGTCTATTTTCTCCACCGGCGTTTCTGGCCAGCTGATCCGGACCAGTTATTTTAGCAGAATCAGTATAGTTTTTTTCTTTTCGGACAAAGAACAAATTGCTGCTAAATCAGCAGAATCTTTTTTCCTCCATTTCAGACACTCGACGGAGGGCTGAACGTTATCCAACTGGAGACGGCGGTCGGCGCAGCTATCAAGTGCTTCGACAACGCTCTGGGAATTAACGTCCCCCGCAGCCGCTTCCTGCCTGTCAAAACCACGTCGGACCTGCTGCTGGTCATGTCCAACCTGTACAGCCTGGATGCCGGCTCGCTGACCATGAGCCCCAAGCGGGAGTTCCCAACGACGCCTCATGTCAAACTGGGCAGCTCCTTCACCAAGGTAACCACGGCAACAGTGGGAGGGTTGTTTTTCATTGATATTTTTTTCTGACACTTTCTGTGACATTCATGCTTTTTTGTGGAGGGATTTATTTTTCTTGAAGTTTCTCTGTAATTTGAATTTAGAAGCTTTTTGTTACCCTTTTGTGTTTATCATCCTAGTTTGATGAATAATCCCTTTATCTTAAAGAGTTACACGTGATAATGAAAATTATTGATCAGTCATGAATCCTCTAGAGTAGCGTGGTTAAAGAGCAAATTGAAGGTTACATATTTTTTTCTAATTAATATAAAATGCTGTCCAAAAAATTCTATTTGAAATGCTTATTGTGGATATTTCATTTTAAAATGCATAACGGCAGAGTTTTTTTGAGTAAAAAGTGGCGTTTCTCAGCAAAGCTTCTAAAAACGCTCTGTTTTGCTAAACTTTAACCTCTGTCGTAAAGGGAGTTAGAAGCTGAATTGAATGTGGATTTCTGTAGCTCAGATCACTGTCAGAACCGACTACCAGAAGAGACGTGCGGCTCAACGGGCCATTCAAGCTGGTTTCTGGGTCGGAACCAGATCAGAACCGCCGCGGACCTCCAAGAAAGGATCATGTTTAGCTTTTAAAAATACCATTTGGACTGGCTCACTGGTGTCTGGGTCGGATCCAGCTCACTGAATCCCGCATGAGCTCCAGAAACCGATAGCAGGCGTCTCTCTCCCTCTCTCTAAGCACTAAACTACGTTACGTGAACGGATATTAACGAGTATGAGACAGCTGACAGATGCATTAGTTTATTATTGTCAAGTATTAATAGTATAGTAACTGACCAATACTATTTTTTTAATTATCCGGTACATGATAGTAATCTGTACAATATTGTGATGTTAGCACACGAGTTTAGGCTAGCATCGTTAACTCACAAGCTGCTCCCCCTGCTTCTCTTCAGTCTTTCTGCTTTGGCCGATGGTTTCTCCCTCTGGTTTGTCTTTGCTCTCTGGGGCGTGCAGCAAACTCATAACTTTATGGTTGTGGTCCATCATAAGTAGAATTGTAAACATTTAAATTTTCCTCTGTGTCAGAGCCGACATTAGAATCCATGTTTTTCTCTGGATTAAGCTAGCAGGACTCCCTCAGCTGACGTCACTTGGTTTGGCAAAAAACAAAAAAAAAACTATTTTCTCTCAAAAATGACACTTAAAGCCTAAATAATGTATGGATGTGTAAAAAAAAAAAAAAAAAAAAAAAAAAAAAAAAAGTTTAAAGTGAGTTTCTATAATGTTTCTCTAAACATTGGTTCATGGGAGTCTCTAACCTGCAATTTGGGTCTGTAAGACTTGGCCATGAACACATTTTCTCCCGTTCAGGTTCAGGAGTACCTGACCCGCTTCGAGAGCATCCCCGACATGCTGGAGCTCGACCACCTGACGGTTTCTGGAGATGTCACATTTGGGAAAAATGTGTCGCTCAAGGTGAGGTTTTCTGGAGACCAACTCTGAAGTAGAGCGTTGTTGTTGAAGGTGGTAATGGAGATGTGTTGCTGCATTAATTATGTGATTAGCTGGGATTTGATATTACTATTTACTTATGTGGAAGTGATGACATCGTCATCATTCTTTGGACCAAAAGAATAAACGCTTTATCCTGCCAACAGGGAACCGTCATCATCATCGCCAACCACGGAGATCGGATCGATATTCCAGCCGGCTCCATGCTGGAAAACAAGATCGTATCTGGAAACCTCCGTATCCTGGACCACTGAAGCCACCACCTCCACTCATCACCACACACCCTTATCGTGTGACCCGTTTGTTCCCAGCAGCAGATTGTGAGAGGAAGCGACTTCCTGCCTGAAAACTGTGGGTTGCATGTGCAGAGAGCAGCAGGGGCATACTACCCCCTACTGGTGGTTTATTGTTCAACCTCCTAAGTGTTCATCAGTAGTTGTTGCTTACAGAAAAGCTGAATCATTAGGAAACTAGCTAACTAAAAATAACTATTATGGATTTCTATTCTATTTTTTTCTGTAGTGATTTAGTAGTAAAGAGACTATAACCTGCCAGAGTAGATTGAACGATAATGGGATTAGAAGCATTAAATAAATTTGATCACAGATTATGTATTAAATCTGATGGTTCTGTTTAGAACTGTTAACGTAATCTCCTGGTGAACCAACGTAGAAGAACTTGGACCACAGAATTCAACATTATGTTCCATCCTAGTCAGATTACACAGGCAGGCGGAAGCAATCATAATTCTGGTTCTGTCTCGCTGAAACAGGAAATTGTATCTATACCAGATTTAAATTTGAGCTCTTGAAGGCAACACGCCTGAATTTAATGACATTTGGTGGAAAATCCAAATGTTGGATCACACACTAGAAAGCTAATTTAGGCTCTCCAATAGATCTTTTACTCCCCATGTTTGTTGGAGGGCAGTTTTAGTTTTCTAGCAACCGGCTTGTTTCTACAAATACACTTTTGCATACAAACAGTAATTTGGTCTGTAGATTTTTTGTGTGATCTGTGAAATCAAGAGTAAAAATGGAATTAAGTGGATGATCAGTGAGACATAAAGAAGTTATTTAAATATTTATCTGAATGTAAATGTGAAACATGCTAAAACTGTGAGCCACAACATACTAAACCATAAATGCTTTAGTCCATGCTGCCACGTTTTACGTAACTTTATTAGAACCGTGGCAGCTAATCACGACAACATAACTGAGGTTAGCACCTGACTTGCCTCCAGAGCCTTTAAACTGTGAGGAACTTGCGTGTACTTCCACTGTAGACCTTCAGAGGGAGGTTAGGTCAGAAGGGAAAACATTTGATTTGCTGTTTCCATTTTCAAAGGTTTGTTTTAACATGTTAGTGAAGACGTATCGTGTTAGATCGAAACTCTTTACTTTTAACCCGTCATGTGGTAAAAATGTTGTAGCATTATTTTTGTTCGATTCTAGTGTGTCTCACATATGTGCATTTTCCCATCATCCTCATCTTTACGCCAAACGTCAGGCTGTGCAGTATTTCCTGGAGGTTTTGGTTTACTCACACAGGTTTAGATCAGTTTCTGAAACACGTAAAGAAGAGTTTCAGGGTTTGACCGGTGTTGTACGAGAAGCTTGAAAGCAATAAGTGTTGATCTGTGACGGTAACCAGGTCTCCGCCCAGAACTGAATAAAGTGCAATATGAAGAACCGAGCATGTTGTCTATTCATCTCTGATGAGACGTGGAAATAAGAAAAAGTCATCACTTCATTATTCATCCCGTCAGTAGACCTGTGTCTGTTACTGAACTGTATCCAATAACACGAAGCCCAACAACGAAGATGTGTCACTTACACTTTATTGTTTAAAGTTATTACAAAAAAGTGTTTGCTGGAAACATTCTTAGATTTTTGCCTTTTACAAGCACAGAGACGACAGGAGGAGGAGGACAGTGAGTGGAGGGGCGTCTGGATGGACCGGATGGTGAGTTTTGTGTAAAAACGGGCTGAAGTAACAGTACAGAGACAGAGGGAAGCCCTTTACACACACACACACACACAGAGTTAATGAAACTAAACCAAACCAGACTGGCTGAAGGAGAGGCAGCAGTTTGATCTGTGACGTATCCTCAGATGACCGTAGCAGTGTGTGTGTACGAGTGTGTGCACAGGCCATCGTTGTCTCCCTGAGGTGAGTTAGTGTGTCGCAGTCTGAGGATACTGGAGAGCTACTAGTGGGGATGACAAACAAGCAAAACAAATTACAATCTCTCTTTTTGTCACAAAGTATACCTGCAAGTGTTCAGACCTTGAGGATCTGTGGGAGTGGGTTGGAAGAGATGCTTAAATTTCTACAGTTTGCGTGTGTGTGTGCTGCAGCAGGAGTCTGGGAGAATCTGTGCTTTCACACACCAGGACTTCCTTTTCTCATTTCAGTTTGAGTGATAACCTGCAGAAATCTGCAGCTGAACTTAAAATATGTCTGATTATTGTGCTACATCAATTTGAATATATGCTGTTATGATTAAAAATCCTAAGTGAGGCTAAAGAGGTAGCCAGAAGAGGGTGAATGCATAGATGAACTGCACAGTCTCTGGTTGGCTGCACATAAAATGACTCCTGACATTTTCTAATAAAGTACCACATAAAAGTGAGTTATTCATGGCTATCATTTAAAATTAAACCTATTCTTTCAGTTTCCATGCAGAAACCATCCGGCAGCCCCGGAGAGTTTGTACTTTTGCATTTCCAGAAAATGCTACATCACTTTAAGACGGTCTGCAAAGCACTAATGAGCCACACTCTCTAAGAGGAGTTCTGTACCTGTGGGTAAGGCTAGGAGGAAATGACTTGAATGCATCAGTTTTAACTCTGCATCATTAAAAGAGGCTGAAAACAAAGCCTTTGTGACTTTGTGCATTTCATTATAAAACATGCGTTCCTCCGCCGCCAGTGGAGAAGCCAAAAATAGTTTCAGATGTTGGCAGGGGTACAGCGTGTCTATCCTCTGGGCTAAAATTAATACTGATCCGAAAACTAGTGTCTGTCCACATCTGTTAAACATCAGTATTCCTGTCATTCATCTAAAGTAACAGAAATCAGGTCTGGGTTGTGTGTTTTTAGCTACATGGCTGCATTATAACACTCGTTAAAGGGAGGGAGGCGGTCCATCAAACTCCCATAATGCTTCAGGAGGTTTCTGCTGCAAATCTATTGCTCTGAATGTTCGGCGTCCAGAATGATGCCCTATGAGAGTGGAAGGAGGATCAGATAACAACGTGAGCACGCACCAACGGATGGGTTTAAAACACAACAAAAGGCCTTGAGAGGGACACATGGGGGCGGGGGGGGGGGGGGGGGGGGGGGAACAAAACCCTCAGAACACACCTGAAACTTCATGTCTGATTAACAATATGCTGATCTCTGTCAAAAGAAAACACAAAATAGAGTCAAAGTTAGAATTCCCTCAGATAAAGGATGAAGCGATGTCTGGGACATAAATAAACATTTCTTTAAATAAGCTTTAAGAGATGTACACATGTATATTGCAACAAATACATGAATAAAAAACGTACGTTCACACTACGGTGTGTTAGTAATTTAGATAAATACTGTTGAAAGTCCTCCATGGAACAAAGTTTACTCAGCAGTGTTCTTTGTTTGGTTTTTGTGTCTCTGGTTTCACATGAAAATATAGAAATCTTTGTTGTTATTTGTGAAAAAGCAATACAAAGGTCACTTAAAAATGAGAAGGAGGCAAAAAAGTCCAGGAAAAAAAAATCTGGACAGGTCTGTGTTTAGTTTGTCTAAGCAGAACCTCCTCCTGCTGCACCCTCAAAGCATGCTGGGAAGTTTTCTCACTGCTAGTCGAGGGGTCCCTGGAAGATGAGTCTGATGTAGCCCTGCTCGCCGCTCAGCTGCTGGGCGCAGAAGGGGCAGGCGGCGTGGAAGGTGTGAGTGCCATGTGGGAGCGGGATCTGACTCCAGAAGGCCGCCGTCTTGTCTGAGCAGACGTGTCCACAGGGGTTGAAGGCATGAGTGGGCGGAGCCGCGTCGACGTAGAACCCCGCCTCACAGCCCAGCCACAAGGGCACATACGGGCCCTTGGCTCGGCACATGGGGCACTCCCTGAGCCGGCCCTCCCGACCCTCCCGCTCTTCTCGGTGGTTGCCCCAGTTGTGGTATCCGTGTACATGGCCACACTGGAGGTAGACCCATGGCTGCTTCTCGTCCGGAGTGTCTTTGCGGCGCATGGAAGGGAAGGCCAGCGTGTTGAAGCCGACGGGACACTGTGGCCGAGCGGCGTTGATCTCCTGCCGCAGTGCTTCAAGATGTTTGAGAGTGGGGGTACGCGCCAGACCTTCAGCAGTGCGCCACAACAGGGTAGCGCCACAAAGGTCAATGAGTGAGCCGTCCACAAGCTCCTGAGACTCGGTCTCCACCTGTAAGACAGCAGAACAGCAGCTTAAACCCTGAATACCTCAGAACACTCATCAGCAATTAAGGCCCAGTTTAAAAGATGGAGTTCTGCTAGTGGTGACCTTTACTGTGGTCACCCCCCCATCCATCAACCCAGAAGCCTCTGAGCAGATCAGAGAAAGGTCAGATTCGCATGTGATCTGGTGCCTGTCTCTCATAGGTCGCTGGCTTCTGCAGTACCACTCTGACTTCAGCAGGTGGCAGTGTAACACAGACAACCCTGTCTCCTCCAGACAGATGTGTGCTTGCCATACAGGGTGGTGGTGGGGTCATCTGAGAGCTGGAGGCACGATGACATCAGAAAACCGACATACGGGCTGCAGGAGGGCAGAGGACAGCACAGCCCAACATTTTGGTCTTTAGACAGGGCCATCGAAGGGATATGGTGAGATCAGACAAAGCGGGGAATTCCATGTTTAGATAATCGGAGTGAATCAGGAGGGAAAACCAAAGGAAGGAGAGGGGGAAGGCCAGAAACACTACAGAAAGTATGATGTGAGAAGCATATTCCAGGGAGCTTTCTGATGCTGACGCTGAGGTTGCTGAGCGTCTGGGTGAAGGCTGACGTGTTCGTTGGTAACACTTGTGTATCCTGGTAAAGTTTGATGAGCACACATGTCTTTGTGTCAGCGATGCCCAGTAATACCACAGACTTTCCGCTGATAGCCACAAGAAGCTGGAGAGTCAACCCAAACAACACTTTTCACCAAACTTACAGCTGATCTGAGACCTGTCACAACCTCTCCACAAGTCCCTCCTCTGAATCAGTCATCACCATGTCCTCTCAGAGCCTTTTCACACGAGTGCTGAAGGTCACCTGAATCCCTGCACTGATCCACTTCTACACACATTTACTTGGGTACCCCGAAGTAGATCCTTCTTCAGCCTGTTCAGACACAAGCAGGAGCTCAGACGCTACAAGCATCTCAAGAACAGACTAACCATGTCTGCATGAATGTCAGCTCAGATTAAACATCATGTATTAACGATCATATTAACATGATGATGTATCTAACTGGGAAATATGATAGGTAGCTATGTTTTACAGGAAGCTAGGTCATTGCTTAGCACCTGTTTTATTCTCACAGTGACTCTTCTGGTCATTAGGTCACCTATAGGTGGGTGTGACTGAAATCTGTAATCAACAAAACCTTCATTTGTTGGGATGAGTCGGGTTTTTGTTAGCATATTTAGAAATTAGTTTTAGCAGTTTTTGCTTGGGCTGATATTTCACACCAATCTTTGTGATTTTTTAATGACATGTCAAAAATGATTTAGGTTAAAAACATAAAAATTAATGTGAATAGAAGAAAAACGATGAGTTGTAAATCTGACCTCACAGAGAGTGAATTCAGTCTGATAACTTTACCTCACAGTGCTCTGTCACCATACACAATAAAAGCAGCTGATCATTTAAATTCTCAACCAGGCGTGAGTTACTGTGTGGTTTTTACTGTGAAGCATGATGCACTGTGTGGAGATAGAGGAGCTGTAGGGATGAGCTGCTCCGGAGAGACTTGAGAACAGGTGGGACAGCAGATAAAGGGACAAATCATTATTATAAACACTGACTTTGTGCCAGGTCAGCGTGGGTCGATGATGTGCAGAAGGAGAAAAAAAAAACTATGACCTAGTTAAACAAACCACTAGCGTCCTGAATGAAGTCAGACAAATGATTCGTGTGGTGGCGGGGTAGGCGGAGTGTTGTGATTGGTTGAGAGACAAGTGAGGGATCTTTTCCAAGGTCTTGTTAGCTTTGATGGACAAACTGTTGCCTTGGAGATGGCATCTGGATAGCCTTCTGTTGAGGTTTGACTGGTCTCAGGCTCATATGTGCTGACAGTTGAACTGATGTGGTCTGCTTTTCCTGGGTTTTTTGCAGGTTTGAAATTCCTGGTCAGCACGAAAACCAAGCTGGTAAAAACGGAGAAGAATTTAATCTTCTCACCATCTTTCCTCGCTGCTGCGCTGAGCGCGTCTCTCGTAGAGTGAAGACATTGCCGCAGACGGAGATCTCCCTCCAGACTCCAGGTTTGGAGTCCTGTGTGAAGCCGTTGCGTGGATGCATCACTAGAACACCATTAGTGGTCAGCCCGTCCATTTGACCATCAGGCGTCTTCCATTTAGCAGCTTTCTCCTGGTGTGTGCAGAAAAATAGAAAATGACATACTTTTACAGCAGATAGAAGCTGTTTAAGACAGGAAAGTAAATCATCTAGTTTCAATTCCTACTGTATTTTTCTGTGAATTTTGTTTAACCAGCAGGACGTGTTTGTCAAGGACTAATGAATCAGAGGAAAGAAGGCTGCTTCTGACTCTAAAACAAAGCTGTTATCGTTCTCCTGTCTTTGATCCTTCTTGTTGTCTGAACCCTGGGTTGAAACCCTGCTCACCCCCAGGAAGATGTTCTTGGAAGAGTCAAAGCCTGCGGCGTAGATGCAAGCTGTGTAAGGTGGCGTGCGCTGGCAAATGATGCGGCAGGCGAAGCGAGAGATGGTGCTCTGGACCGACTGGGTGTCGGTGTTACTCTGGCTGCCGGCCACTGTGTCCGTCACCACAAAGTCTATCGGACTCTCTGTGGATCGGCCAATCTGATGAAAAGAAATCCAGCTATCAGGTCATATATTTATTTCTGAGGAAACAGGAATAAGAACTTGAAAGAATAAAAAGAGGAATAATGTTTTTTACACAAGCTGCAGAGAAGTAAATATGAGAGAAGGTGCAGGTTGCTGAAACCTGCTGTATTTCTATTGTTATGATAACCTTGAGAATATTTTTATTGAGCAGCCCCCGACAGCCGCCTGCACCTCCCCTGAGCAGAAATCACAGCACCACTCAGCCTCCCACGGGGTTAATGTCAGAGCTGGGTAACTTTAGAAAAGGCTGTGTGAATAAATTTAGATATTCAGGAAGTGTTCAAGTCACACTAAGAATAACAATGTGGGGACTCTGATGTGATTCTGATGTGCTGTTTCCTGATTTTAAAGGAAGTCTTTGCAGTCCTGGCTTGCTTTTAGCACCCCCTAGAGTTCGTTTTAATTCACTGTTGTATCACTGAAACTGAAAATGTCCTCCTCGCTGTGCGTTTGTGTTTTAATACCTTAATCTAACTGCTTGAATGTCTCTGTAGCCTTCATTGGTGTCTACAGGAGTGGTTCATCACCAAATCGAACAAATCTAAAATATGCAGTAATGATATGAAAACCTTACATAGATTTTCTTTAAAAGGAGACTAGGTAGTTTTAGCTTGCTTTTAGCACCCCCTAGAGACTTTTTATTAGAACCAAAAGCAAAAGGTATCTCTTCACCACATTGTTTCTTGTAAACAGTAAGTCGCTTTGGGTAAAAGCGTCTGCTAAGCACATAAACATAAACAAACATATATCTTCACTGTGCGTTCATGTTTTTTTAACAGCTTCATCTAACAGCTGAAACATCTCACCAGCCCTATAGCGTCTACAGGAGTGATTAATCACTAAATTAAACAAACCAGCTGTGACTGACAACTCTGATATTGCAAGTGCTGTATTCTGGCCACAGTGGGCGGTGGGGGTCTGAGTGACATGTCACTGACCCTGGAAAAGATAATTTTAGCACAAACTGGCTAAAGATTTAAAAATATTAAAACGTTGCCTACCATCTCTTTAAAGCTAGAGTTCAGATCTTTTCCGCAAGTTTTAGTGAAAAAGGTTTTACCTGACTCCATTTGGTGTAAATAAAGGTTACTTCTAGTCAGATAGATGAGCTAACAGCTAGTTACACTACTCAGAAAGGGCTTTTCTGTTATTTTAAATAACCATGTAGGTTTATTAAGTATTGTTGAGATACATTGCCATGACATATTTGAAATTAGACTTTTTAAATGGCAGTAATCCATTCTTTACCTTGCTTCATCGTGGCTAATTGGTAACTTATCAAAACTACTCAGTTCCTCTAAGCTGAAACCAGTCAAAGTATTATCTAGAACAGTGGTTCCCAACCTTTTTCCCAAGGGACCCCGTTTTTTACCAGTAAAATTTTTGACGACCCCCTCCCATTCTCTCTTCCAGTACAAACATTATTAAGAAATGACAAAATTGTTCAAGCACATTTTAATATGCTTTGATTCAATAGATAACAGTAATAGTATAGGCTCCAGTACAGAACAAAGTCATTAACAAAACCAAACAGAGCATAATGTGCTTGACAGTTTGTATTACTTTTCTGAACACATTGTTTCTTGTAAACACTGATAAATCTATCATTCCTTTCAATAAACGTTTGACACATAAAAAATACACTGAGCAAAATGTACTTAAATGTGTATATTACTGTTTATACTAGATTATTTACTGTAAAGGCTGTGATTAATCAACCATTCCTATCTGTAATGAACTTTTGACACTTGAAAATAAAACAGTGAGCTGAGCAAATTGTTCTTAAAAGTGTGTTACTTTTTCTGTACTAATTATTTCCTGTCTTAATATCAGTAAACTTTTCACTCATGAATAAAAACTGTGAGCAAAATGTAGGCTATAAACAAGTAATAAATGAAGTTTTAACCCCTTAAAGTGGAGAGGTCCTGGCGACCCACTGAGAGGCTTTGGCGCCCCCTTGTGGGGGTCGGGACCCCCAGGTTAGGATCCACTGATCTAGAACAGACAAGATACAGTAAAAACAGTCCCACTAACTGGGACACGTGTTTCAGTCGTTCATATGTAAATGAGAGTTGTCTATAGAGTTAAAAGAAACATCTATTTTCTAGATCTATACTTGAATTAAGCACAAAATTTAGAATGGAAGCTGCATAACAAATGACTTTCATCATCATGACTAATTAAAAGGATTCTGAGGTTTTTCATGAGCAGAAAAGTTGCCAATAATTCTTACACGTTTAAGTCTTTGAGTAACATCACGTAAGAGGAGCAGTGGCGTGGATGTAGAGCTCCAGGCCCGTATTTACCTGGAACATGTCTGTATTGCTGTCATGAGTGTACTCCACCACCACCGTCTGGGCTCGAGACAGAGTGTAAGAGATGCTGTGCTGGTCTTTGTTGCTTATGGCCTGGTGGGACAGAAGGAGAGGAAGACCAGAGAGAAGATAAACACTAATCACTCAAACCCTCTACAAAAAGACTGAGTCTGACTTCATGGGAGAGTAAAACATCTGCTTAGAGAACAACAGTTTCAAAATGGAGGTGTGAGTGGGTGAAGGTTTCCGTTGTGTAGTCTCTAACGTCGTTTGGGCAGCAGGGAGCACCCCAGAAGGACAATCACTCTTCATGATACAGCCCATAATAGACAGTAGGTGTAAGTTCCCAGACAACATATCGGGCACAGATGTAAAACCAGAAAAATAAAAGAATATCCCACATATATTTTACAATTCTCAGACCGTTTTACAGGTTTCAGAGCAGGCTTGTCCACTGAACTTCTCACTCTTATTTCTCTAATAAATCCTTCAGCGTGTTCCAGTTAAACACCGTGTAAAAACAGCCACTCTTAAAATCCCCACTAAGCCTCGTACCTGCTTGTAGTCGTTGTCCTGTTCTCCCTTTGCTGAGCTTTTTGTTCTCTGTTCCCTGTCTGTTTGATGGAGTGTGTGTGATTCATTGTGTGCTGTATTTTAATATCACAGAACAAAAAGCAGACCTTCGGAAAAGTCTTTGGTGGAGCAGCCAAATCCACAGGACTGGGTGCTTTTATTTGAGGTTGTCAGGGAAACTAAATCGCACCTTGAAACATACGATCAGTCTTAAGAGGAAAGTAAAGACTGTCATTTCTGAAAACACTGTTGTGTTTTGGCTCGAGAATAAAAGAGGGGGGTTTAATTAGTTATTTGACAACTGAAGAGCCTAAACAATGCAGCGTTGTGTGTGTTTTATTACCTTGGCTGCTTGTGGAGAGCAGGCGATGTGTACTGTGCTGGGTTTCACCCCGTTTGCCTTCGGTCTCTTATAAAGTGCAAACCGGCTTTTACGTCGACCTCGGTCCCCATTGGGCAGAGAGCCATTATACCTACACACACACACACACACACACACACACACACACACACACACACACACACACACACACACACACACACACACACACACACACACACACACACACACACACACACACACATAAAACAACCATAGAGCATTATTGTCTAGCTGGAATAACAGTCATTGAAGAAAATCTTTCAGAATTTCAGGCCTAAAATAACAAACATCCATAATCTGAAACCTATACTTTTCATTCAAGTATTTAAACAGAAGCACATAGTGTCCCTGCAAACAACAAATTCCTCCAAACATAACCCCAGGAAGGCTGAGGAAAATAAACACACACAGAGAGATTCATTTAGCCTGATAGCAACTGAAGGAGGGAGAATAAACACAGGTGTTCCCTCCATCAGAGAGGAGTCTCTGTGGCTCCCAGCTGCTCTTTGACCGCACTGCTGAGTCTCTGTGAGTAAGAGTTTATCTTGTTCAACATCCTAAAGTAACATTCAGAAAGCATTCAACGTCGTCCTCCTGCAGACATGCCTAATCTGGCCGAGCACTGCGTCTGAACCTACATGTTTTACAGCAGACGTGTTGCAAATCAGCTGTGATGTTCATTTAAAACAGACAAACGCAGCGGTGACACCCGGGAGAGACCAGGGCCAGGAACTCTTCTGACTTCACTCATACACATATCATCAAGTAGAAATAAGATCCACAAACTAAAATCTAACAGCAAACATGGGTGGGTGCATGCTGATCTGGAGCTGCAGGCATGCTAGGCTGAAAGGATTGTGGATTATAACCAATGTTCTGTTTCATTTACTCATTCAATAAAATGTTTTTTATTTGGTGTTTTACTGATAGAACAGGCTGACATTTTCACCTTAACTCTCTAAAAACATAATAATAATAATAATAATAATAATAATAATAATAATAATAATAATAATAATGCATACATATCCAAACATGATTCTTGTAGAAACCTTTGAGAAGCTACCACCAGCATCCATTTAGGTTTTAACTTTCTAAAGAAGAAAATTATTATTACTTTGTTTTTACTTGTGAGCACATACATCATGTTTCTAATAAAATCCAAACTATATTACTTCTATTAAAAATTATAAGCAAATGTTTCTAGTTTTATACAAATAAAAGCTCTATAATGTAATCAAGTTCTCCTTTTCTGAAGAAGTAACTGATAAACACAATAAAAAGTGTCCAACTTGACTGCTGTTTCTTGAAATAATTAAATAATAGTTTGTGAATAATAATGATTTAAACTATAAAAAGAGTTTATAAGTTAGGAAACTTTGGTTTCTATATAAAACAGCTACAGCTTATAAAAATACAAACTAAGCCTCAAAGTTTGTAGAGAAAAATACACACTGTTTAACAAATTTTTATCAAGATTTCAACCTACTGAAAGCTTAAATTAGTGAAATCAGCAAAATTATGTCAAGAATTAGTTGAGCACAATATACATTAACTGTATTGTAATACATGCAGGTTTAACATTTACAAGCACAGGAGCCCTAGTCATCATGAGTAATGCCTCAGTACAGCTGGAGCATGTCTTTGACCAATCAGAGGCATGAAACAAACCCTCCCTCTGTCCTGAGTCCAGTAAAGATGGCTCAGACATGCTTGTGAGGATGCCCAGTCTACGGCTAAACATTACTCTGAGAGAGCAGAAGCACTAAAATCAAACAACGCTGTGAGGGTTTGTGCGTAACCATAGTGAGAGAACAGAGCCACAGCAACGTTTGGAAAGAGTAACCATGGCAAGAGCGTAACCATGGTGATGTTTAGCCTGTATCCACAGGAAGGGCAGGGCAGGCTGCTGGAGAGAGCTCAAAAGGCTGCAGGCAGTTCAAAACCAGGCTCCCATGGGTGCGTGTGTGTACATGCATCCAAATTTTCCCAAAGCCAAAGTGCAGAGCCCAAAGGTTAACAAGGAATTAGAGTACTTCTGAGTACTCAGTAAGGAGGTCAAGTAATAGGGGACCACAGTCAGACAAAACTGATCGAATGAGAGACAGACTGAATTCTTCACTTTTTAAAAAATAACAGAAAGATAAAAAACTAAACTGAGACTGAGAATAAAAGCTAACCAAGTATTCAGTAATAAAGCCAGGCTGTCTGGGTAAGTACTGCTCAAGTCCTTTCTGCTCAGTGTTCAGAATAAGACACAGAAGCTACAATGTACATGTCATGTACAATCTTGTGAATTAAAGTAGAGTTTTGTCACTCAGCTCCCTGTTGTAGCGTAAATCATCACTCCATCCATCCATTTTCAGCCAATTATCCGGAGAAAGGTCGCAGGGGCAGCAGCCCAAGCAGAGAAGCCCTAACTTCCCTCTCCCCAGCTACATGGGCCAAATCTTCCAGGGAAATCCCAAGGCGTTCCCTGGCCCGCCGAGAGACATAGTCCCTCCAGCATGTCCTGGGTCTTCCCTTGGGTCTCCTCCCGGTTGGACGTGACCAGATGCCTGAGCCACCTCAACTGGCTCCTCTCGACGTGGAGGAGCAGCAGGTCTACTCCAAGCCCCTCCTGAAACACCGAGCTTCTAACCCTATCTCTAAGGGAGAGCCCAGCCACTCTGCGGAGAAAATTCATTTAAGCAACTTGTATCCACAATCTCGTTATTTCGGTCACTACCCAAAGCTCGTAACCATAGGTGAGGGTAGGAAAGTAGATCGTCCGGTAAATCGAGAGCTTTGCCGTCTGGCTCAGCTCTCTCTTTGCCATGACAGATCGGTAGAGCGCCCGCATCACTGCAGATGCAGCACCAATCAGCCTGTTGATCTCACACTCCAGCTTTCCCTCACTCGTGAACAAGACCTTGAGATACTTAAACTCCTTCACTTAGGGCAGGACCTCGTCCCTGACCTGGAGAAGGCATTCTACCATTTTACAACTCAAGACCGAGGTCTCCGATTTAAAGGAACTAATTCTCATCCTAGCTGCTTCACATTCGGTTGCGAACTGCTCCAGTGAAAGCTGAAGATCACCGTCCGATAAAGCCAACAGGACCACATCATCAGCAAAAAGCAGAGACCTGATCCGTAGGCCATCAAAACAGATCCCCTCAACACCTTGGCTGTGCCTAAAAATCCTGTCCATAAAGGTTATGAACAGAATCGGTGACAAAGGTCAGCCTTGGCGGAGTCCAACTCTCACTGGAAACAAGCTCAACTTACTGCCGGCAATGCGGACCAAGCTCTGACACCAGTCATACAGGGACCTAACAGCCGTATCAGAGGGCCTGGTACACCATACTCTCGGAGTACCCCCCACAGAGCCCCCCAAGAGACACGGTCGAACGCCTTCTCCAAATCCACAAAACACATGTAGATTGGTTGGACGAACTCCCACGCACCCTCCAGGACCCCCCTAAGGGTATAGAGCTGATCCAGTGTTCCACGGCTAGGACGAAAACCACTTTGTTCCTCCTGAATCTGAGGTTCCACAATCCCACGGACCCTCCTCTCCAGAACTCCGGAGGCTCAGGAGTGTGATCCCCCTGTTGTTGGAACACACTCTGTGCTCCCCCTTTTTAAATGGGGGATCACCACCCCAGTGGAATTGCCCCCAATGTCCACGCGATACTGCTGAGCCGCGTACACTAACACAGCCCCACAACATCCAGAGCCCTAAGGAACTCTGGGCAGATCTCATCCACCCTCAGGGCCTTGTCACAAAGGAGTTTTTGACCACCTCAGTGACCTTGGCCCCAAAAAATGGAAGGTCCAACCCAAAGTCACAAGACTCTGCTTCCTCACTTCCTCACCGATCCACAACGTCCCGAGGAGAGGTCAACAGCACACCGTGTTTACACAGTGTAAACAGTCTTGGTAGCACACTGCTTTCCCCTCCTGAGACACCGGATGGTTGGCCAGAATCTCCTTGAAGCCATAGGGAAGTCTTGCTCCATGGTCTCATTGAACTCCTCCAATGCCGGGTTTTTTGCCTCCGCAACCACCCCAGCTGCATTTCCCTTGGACTGCCGGTACTTATAGGTGAAATATTGCATTTTCATTTAAGATAATTACTGTTTATCTTATTCTGTTGTTGGCCTGTGAAAAATATTGAACCCACTTTAAGATACTGTATGAACTGAAAAGACATGAATAGAATAGAAATAGAATAGAAAATCTCTTTATTGTCCCTCGGTGGGAAAAACTTGGTGTCCCAGTAGCAATAACATTCATTACAAGAGCATAAATAGAGAGTAAAAAAATATAAGAATAAAGAGTAAACAATAGGAAAACATAAAATAGAAATACTTAAAATAAGCTAAATATATGCAAAAATATATGCTGTATATATACACAATTTAAGGAATAAAAATAAAAATGAGGCATAATAAGTAACGAATACCACTGATGAGTGTGCTTTAATTCAAATTGATTTGCTCATGTGTAATTTGGTTATTTCACATTCAGTGTTACTGCACAAATAAGTTTGTTTCCAAATGAAAAGGTTCAACTGTACATATCGGTAGATAAAGGAAAATGTGCACATTTGCTGTCACTTTTTCAAAAAATGTTGAGTTTGGCCCGCGACTTCGTCCCAGTTTTTCATTTGGGCCCAGTATGAATTTGAGTTTGACACCCCTGTGTTAAATGGTCAGTTTGTCTGATTTTTATCAAGATAAAAATAAAAATGTCCAAAACATGACGAAAATGAAATAGTTTAGTATTATTTTTTACGTGGGTTAAAAGCTTTCTGGCTGTACTAGTTTGTTATTTTGTTCTAAATCAGTAATGGCAGTGTGAGTTTAGTGGTGCTTATGAAACCTTTGTGAGTGGGTAATTTGAGTGGGTTTTTTGTCCCTCTGCATGTGTGGGCAGAGATGCATATATAATAGTTACTGTATGTGGGCAAAGCGACATACATTCCTAACTCTGTCTTCATTTTTCTTCAGATCGTGGTGAAGCTCTCTAAGCAAGTTTCCACTACCTAATTAGGCTTTATATATCAGACAACAAAGACTGCACAGCATCATCACCACCGCGAGGTATTTGCTTCCCCATAGTAGGTGAGAGAATAGAGGTCAGGGTAAGGGTGCATGACTCCTACAGCATCAGTGAACCCTTTTCAAAGTTTTAAAAAGCAGTCCTGCTTGTTGCTTGAGTGACACCTCTTGTTACAGGCCTAAATGTGCCAATTCTGATCTTTTTTTTTATATAAAGAAGAATTTCCCTGACCTAGAAGCAAAAATTGAATGGAAAAAGCACAGCAAACGGAAAACTGGGGTTCTCCCTTGTAAAGGCATGGAACTGCGTTTACTGCTTAATGTGTTTTTTCCACTAAGGAATTTTTCCACGGTCAGCTCTCTGACAATACTGCTCCAGCACAACCCTGAACAACAAACTGTGAGTCAGCTGTGATATCGACTGTGTAAGACATGAAGGGTGAGTGCGTGGTGCTTGTAGGTAGTCTTTCTAACATCTGTATGCTTCTGAGGAGGGGGCTGGTATGGGGAGAACGGTGCAACATCCCCCGGGATTAAACTGAAGACAGATAGTGGAGGTCGGTCACAGTCGATTGTTATGTGAGAATCTATGTGAGTCTGTTCCTCTGTGGCCATGCGTTTAAAAGTCTTCTGGAAGGGCTTTCCCTAAAGCTGAGTGGAGTTGATTAAAAAGGAAACTATGATGGAAAGGGGAGTTTGTGAGATGATGTCCGCTGCGGTTGTCGGTCAAAGCTTCTCTCATCTTGCATCAAATGCAAAAGCACTTCTCAGCAACTGGACAAAAACATTCACAGTGCTGATTCTGCTTTTTGGAAACACATTCCACTTTCCAACTCGTTGTTGAGCTGAATAATTAAGAGGCTTACTCTGCCAAGCTCGTTAGAGGAAATCTGAGGGTTGCCAAACCTGACGACTCTAAAACAAGACACATTTGTTCCTTTGGGACACTTTTTACATGTTACTTTGCTGTATCTGGTCTTACTTACACCCACACCCTCTATTGTTCTTAACATGCGATTATCTCTGAAATCATACTGGGCCGTCTTTAGCAGACAGAGTAAACAAAAGAACAATACAAAAGTCATGCCAAATATACACATAATTATGTGTTGCATTACATTCAAAAAGAGACTCCATCAGGGTCTTTTAGGCTGTTTTCTAAAATGCATTAGTGTAAATAATGTTTACATCACTGTCTTTGTCAATAATACACACCATGTAACAGCTTTGTTTTCTGTATTTATTGCTACAGTTTATCAGCAGAGCTGGGTTGTCATTCCAAGTATGTGAGTCTTGATTTATGTAGGTACAATGCAACTAGTGTTGCACAAACTCAGTGGGATGACTCTGGTATTTAACACCAAAACAGTGATTACATGTGGATGTAATGTTTGGTTACTAATGGTCTTTCTAAACACATTTATGCAAAACCTGGCATTATAAACCACAAAGCCGTGTATGACTTGAATCAAATAAGATTAGCAACATCTGTGGCTATGATTGTTAGCCCAGCAGAAAAGCTTTCTGATACTAAAAGTGATAGCATCGGAGTAAAACATCAGCATGTGCTTCTGCCAGCAATGCAGTCTACTGTCTTACTTCTTGTGCCTACATTTGTTGACAGTCCCCCAGTCCTGCCTTAACAACGTCTGTGACCATCTCCATACCCATCCAAAGCCATTCCCTTTGTGCAGAGTGTAGATGGTCCAGTCTCCCTCTGACACCAACTCAGTCTCCTTTCCCACCAGTGAAGTGACATTCCTCAATCCTAGAGCTAGTTTGTGACCTATAAGTCGGCCCTGGCTGCCATCCAGCTCTAACAGAAACCAGTTTCAGTTTTCCTCCCCACAGGTGGTACCCATGTAAATGAGGCATCATGTGGGTTCTTGGGCTTAGCTAAAGCTTGACCACCAAGCTCCACCCGTATCCCACCCATGGCCTGGCTCCAAAATGGCATTCCCTCTTCCAGGCGAGGTTGGTTTTCCAACTCTGGTGACTTTACATTGAGGTCTTCGAATCGCTCTTACTCCTCCCCTGGTTCCAATTTGCCATGGGAGACCCTACCAGGGGCTGATACCCCAGACAACACAGCCGCCAAGATCTGCGGGGTACTCAAACCCCTTCACCACGTTAAGGTAGCAATTCTATGGAAGGGTTAACCCTGATGCAAAGATGATAAAAGTAATAAGTAAACACCAGAGATGATGGATCTATCAAGTTTTGAATATTTGTGCTTTATAATTGGTGACTTACCCTTTGACCAGTCAACATTAGGAATGAGAAGTGTTTAATGTTAGACAGTGCAAGATTTTGATTCATTTTGTGTCTTGGTTTGCTGAGGATTGCAGAGTATTAAAAATGATTTCTGTTAGAAAAAAAATAAAGCAGTCAAACTGTCTCCTGATTGTTGCTTACCCCAGCACAATGAGCTCTCCATACTTCACTGGCACTTTGGTGGAGGAGGTGGTGGAGATGTTTTCCTGCTCCGGGGAGTACATGAGGCTTTACTGACTTAGGAGGCAGGGAAGGATGAGTGAGACCCAGCAGAGTGAGTCAGGATGGGGTAAGGAGGACAAGGGAAGGGGGGTGCTGATCCTCTGGAGGACAAGGGGAAAGGAGATGGAAGGGGCGGGGTCAGCTGAGCCTCAGCTCCACCCTTTCATGCTTCATGCATCCACCTTTTGCTTTTTCTCCCCTGCAGAGTGACAAAAGCAGAAAAAGGTATAAATTAGATCATTTATTAAGGCCAACCAAAAGGCAAATGCCTGATTTAAATACATTTAAATCTAGTTTAAATTATTTTTCACATCTTCCAAATCTGGGAGACGGTATGCTTGCTGTTATTTGAGTCATCCTGTGAAGTAAGAATTTATACTCAAGCAATTTTTCTTTTTACACAGGAAATAAGTATGAGAAAAGTAGAGCTTGAACTTCCTGTTCCAGAAAACTAAAGCAGATCATCATGGTTAAACTCGCGACCCCGCTGCTACATCTTGCCCTCTCTCTCTCTCTCTCTCTCTCTCTCTCTCTCTCTCTCTCTCTCTCTCTCTCTCTCTCTCTCTCTCTCTCTCTCGCTCTCTCTCTCTCTCTCTCTCTCTCTCTCTCTCTCTGTCTCTCTCTCTCTCTCTCTCTCTCTCTCTCTCTCTCTCTCTCTCACAACCAAACTAAACATATTGTACTTATTTTAAGTTTCCTTTTAGAACAATAACATTATTACTTCACTTCCTGCCTATCAACATTATATGAAGCACGTTATTTCCCTACAACTCCCAGAGAAACAATCTGCCTGGAGAATCAGAAACCACTAATGCATCATGTGGAGGACGTGTTGATGAAGGCTGATCCGCACCCGCTACAACAAGTGGGAGACATTCATGCAAAAGTCTTCCAAATATACATATCTGACAGATAATATCAAACAGAAGCCTTATGTCTTCAAATCAGTGAGATCTTTCCCTAACCCACCAAATCTCACTTAGCTGTGCAGCTATCCATTTGGACTCAATGTCCCTTACTCCTGAAGAAAGTTTTACTGGTTGAACACAAGCTCTTTTCGTTGAATAAATAATTTATTTAACTTTCTGGGAACTGCATCATAAAAAGAGCTCCTTCAGTAATTTAAAACAACACAAGATTGTTTATGGTGATGACTTTCAGTGTCAGCGCTTGGAGTCCTCTGACTCTAAAGGCGCTACACAAGTGTGTGTCATTTATAATTTATTATTAAAAGCAACAAAGGCAGATCGACTACAAATGTTTTTAATTATAAGTGTGACTGTCTGCATGTATGATCCAGTTGCAAGGCTAAAGCTGGTGTCGGTACCAGATCGGCTTGGGGTCCTGCGCCTGCTGATGACGTCACATTCCGGCAAATCCATTCGGCTTTCACACTTAAGTTTTGGAAAGACATCAGCAGTTTTGTTAATAAATTCTTGTTTGTTACCACCTAAATGTTTACTTTATAATTGTAATTTGTTAGTAAAACACCATATTTTCTTTGTTTTGTAAAGAATGTGAAACTACATAAAAGCAACATCGGATTGCAAAAAAAGACAACAGTTCTTATATGTGAAGCCATATCTGTTTGTATTAATGTGGAATTTGTTGGTATATTTCCTTAGTTGTTATGTAAATACATTCATTCATTCATTCATTCATTCATTCATTCATCCAGAATGTTTCTTGGTGTCTTTTCAATAAAGTTCTAATATTTTATTTTGCCCCATTTCATCTAAATCGAGCTTTTGAGGGTCACCGTTTATCAGCTGATATCTTTGCTTTTATTTTACATTTACTTTGGAAATTCAAACAAATTTTCTCTGAAAAGTGTTGGTTTTTAGACTACAGGACTACAACCGCTAAGACTACCACAGTAAATTTGTTCTGACCAATCAAAATCCTCATTCTCAACGTGCTAACGTAACTTTTACAAACATGGTACCATAACTTCTGTAAGTCTTACATTCAGCCAATCATCTGCTGTGGCGTAATTTGCAGATGCAGGACCCCGAGGCGATCTGGCTGCATGGGCAGATCTGGTACTGACACCGGTATATCACTGGGCTGCAACTGTTAGCGACTAGCTGGAGACACAAAACTTTGACAAAATACACAAATTATGACTTGGAATCATGTTGACTTGGTATGTAAGACAGTTTCTGTAATGGCTGGGTAATAATACAACTTGAGATACACATTTTCTTGCCTTATTTTATTCACAAAGTGTCTTACTAGCATCTCAATTTGTTTGCAGTTTGTCCTAATCATATTCATAATTTGTTCGCCTGCCTCACACTTCTTGCACTACTGGACCACCGAAACTGAACTGATGTGAATTCTCGATGCATGTGGTGACTCAGGAACTATTTCCAGAAAACATTAGATTTTCTAATCATTTACCGAATGGATTTTTCAGTGAGGGCCTTCAGAAACAGAACATCTTGTGAATATTTTGAGATGTTTTAGAAACTCTCTTGTGGATGCAATTTGAAATTTGTTCCCAACTGTTGCAGCCCAGTGAGACACTGGTCTAAACCTCTGCCTGAAATAGTAACTTAATGTGATATTTGAGGCTGGCCCTGTTGCATTCTTATTCATGGTAGAGTTCTATCTTTGAGTGCAAGTTAAAAACGATCTAATGCAAAAATAAACAGTATCAGAACAGTCTGAATTTCTATGAAAATCTCATCAGCCCACACTTGACCATAGCCTCATCAGACCCTCACACCTCTTTGCAAACGGCTCCCACACAAATACAGGAAGTTATAGGTGCTGATACTGCCAACAGCCTTGCTTTTGGGCTGCCCAGTAGAGATGCAATCTTGAGTTTCACTTGGTTTTTGCAGCAAAAATATCTTAACTTTCAAATGTTTTGCTGTGAGAAAGCTGACAGCAGCACATAACTTACAGAGGGCGAGTAAATATGAGTACAGAAAAGGGAACCAGGACAAATTGTGGTAAACACTCCTGCTTCCGTTTCCTGTGGCTACAACATATTTACAAAAGTAGTAAACTGATGAGAAAAAGCGTTCCAAAGTTTAGTTTATTTTATGGCATCATAGCCGTTTGGGTACAGGAGAAAGACTAGTTTGTTGATTTTGTTGATAATAACCTAAACAGACCCTTATCATAACACCAAGACTCAACATGCTAGAAATGTTTACCAAACCCTCTTTGCCTACATGGATGCACAAAGATGTGGGAAAGGCATTTCTCCCATATAAGCATCCCAAACTAAACTGTGTGCTAAAAGAACACAACTAAAAAAAGAAGAGAGCACAATAATTACAACCAAAAATCTGTGCACTAATGCATTAATGTGCATGATTAACATCAACAATAATAAAATATGGGATCCAAAGACTTTAGGAAGAAGAGGTGTGTCAATAAATCCCTATACATTTGCTTCAAATCTTCTTACTGAGCAAGGCAGAAGAAACATATTGTGCAAAGATTATCTCTGTAGCATGTAAGTATATTTTCATAAATATAAATGCAGTTTTACTTAGAGTCTGGCATAATGCAGACTGTTCTGTACTCTTACAATCCCAGCATACACCAGGTAAGCAGTACAGGGAGTTGCACCTCTCATTTTACCTATGATCTATTTTAAAACACAAAGGAGCTCTGAGCTATAATCAGACAGATTACACAAAGGCAGAGAGATTACACCAGAGTTTTACACAGCTACCAAAGTCTTAATGGTACATATTATAACAGAGTTCAGCAGACGGTTGGAGGACAAAACAAAGAACAAAAAGTCCACTGTGGGCGTCTCTGTGTGGTTGGCATCACATTGAGGATGACAGGTTAAGCTCCTTGATGACTGCTCATGTGCTGACATCATTCCATGTACATTTGAGATAACCTACATTATCACAGAAGAATGCAGGTCAGAGGAAACTGATGCATGAGCGTATCATCTGCACGTTTTGCTCATTTTCTTCACAAGATGTGAAATGATAACACTTCTATGTGCAGCCACAGCCAAACACCTGTAAAATGTTTTGACTGTGCATCAAACAAAAAACATTTGCCATGAGTGTAATAAAAAAAAACTCATTAGGTGTAGCAACCTCTGTTTTAATGATGCGTTCCATTTGTACTCAGAACTTGGAAATTCCAACATCCAAATGG